CTCAGATCATGCAGTCGAATACGAAGACGCCACCGAGCTGGGACCCCGCCAGGGAGTCCTCATATCCACTCCGTGACTTGGATCACGGACATCCGCATGTGGGAAGCGATGACAGACATACCGGCACGTTCGATTGCTCCGGCCGTGGTCTTGCAGTTATCAGGATTGGCCAGAGAGATATCGAGAGAAGTGCCGCCAGATCAACTACAAGACGGAGTTTACATGGACCTCCGTGATGGAGCTGGACATCGATGGTGTTCGGGGCTGGACCTATTGATTCATGGGCTGCGACGCAAATTCATGCCGCTGGAGGTGGAGACCGCTATCGCGAGCATGACCGACCTGGTTGCCTTTCGTCGACGGCCAGGCGAACCGATTGACCAAGCTTTGGCTCGATTTGATCTCCTGAAGTTCAAGGCTGAGCACCTGGGAAATTTCCATATGGGAATTCCGAATTTGGCTTGGATGTTACTCAATGCTCTTGGTATTCCACCGCCACAGTGGGCTCAATTTCTGGCACCAACGGGAGGTAACTTACCAACGAATGAACAGGAGCTTTCAAGTCTTACCTCTTTTATCAGGCGTCAGAATCATCTTTACGAGCGGAGTGGACTCGCGCAGGCAGCTCATCAATCCAGGCATCAGCATATCACAAACCCCACAGGCTCCGGTGACGGTTTCTACTTCACGGGCAGTTCACAGGACACTGGCACCCAAGTGGGAGTATCACCGCCACCGATGCCCTACTACCCCAGCGCATCGTCCTCGTCGAGGTCAGGTGTACCACTCGGTGGAGTTGCTGGGGTATCGAATGGATCAAATGCAGAAGGATGCTGGTGCAGCAATTGCCATACTATATTCTACGACCGGGAAGATCCGGACTCCACCGAGACGAGCGATGATGACGGCGACGATTTGGCGGAGTCGACCTTCCACATCAGTGCCCAGATGAGCGACAGCGATCTGTGTGAAGTATACGCTTTGGCCAAGAAGCACTGGAGGAGGCGAGCGGACAGACTTCCAAGGCGTCGTAGATACAAAAGGCAAAGGCAAGGGCAAGACAGGGGTCAGATTTCAGAGAAATAGTGGATGGTCTTTTCTCTCTGAAGCAGGAGACGGAGCTCTTTGCCCCGGGTGCGCGTGGAACACCCATGAATACTACAAGGGCAAGGGCAAGGGCGAGAAGACCAACCCGAGAGGCGCGAACGGACAGCCACTTCGATGTGACCACTGCAACAGCGAGAAGCATCTATGGAGGAAGTGCGACGCTCCGGGAGCTGACGATTACCGACGAAAACGGGCTACCTCAGGAGGAAAGGGTTACGTGACGACAGAAGGGGATATGAGTACAGGAGGAGCCCAACCAGCTTCAAGTTTCTCCAGCGCGTTGCAGCACTGGCAGCAACTCACGGGTCAACCGGCAGCGTCTACGGCGACCAGACACTTCTTCGCCATGCCGAGCAACCTGGAGTCACAGGTGGACGTGTCCAAGGATGACGAGAAGGAGTACGAGGACAGCTACTACCCGGACGTGGAGGAGGAAGGCTCGCGCCTGTGCGAGTCGCATGCGCGGCCAGACCTTCAAGAGGGGGTCCGCCGTGACTGTGCTTCATCCGCATCCTGGGATATGCTATCGACTCCCTCGGAGTTCGTGGACATCGGCAACGAGACGATTCAGATGATTGAACAGGCGACAGGCGAAGGCTCGGATCATAGATGACCCGGACACGGAGGCAACTCTTGGAGAACCTCGGTCCAATGACGAGCAGATCGACTCAGGAACCAAGCCCGCTGGATTGAAGTGGTTTGTGGGGCCGGTGCTCGAGCGATACGATGAGACACGACAGGTATTTCTAGAGGCGACGCGAATTGATGGTAAGGAGTGCCTACTGATAGATCCAGGTGCGTATGACAATTTGGTGGGTGACAGATGGGTTATGCGAATGGGAGCTCTGGCAAAGCGGGCATGTCTGGGACCGACGCAACGTCTGATGGATCAATCGATCGGGGTTGAAGGAGTCGGTACCAATGCTCAGATCGCCAAGGAGGAGGTGACGACGCCAGGCGCAGCCAAGGACGAACGAGGCAAGGTGCTTCAGATAAGCTACAAGGCCCCAGTGGTTCCTGATTCCGATATTCCCGCTCTCTGGGGAAAGCGTAGTCTGAAGCGCAACAGGGCGGTGGTCGACATGATCAACAACAAATTGTACCTGCGTGGTCCTGGAAGAGTACAATTCACACCACCGCCGGGGGCGCTTACCTTCAATCTAGAGGACTCACGATCAGGACATCTGCTGTTGCCTATCTCGCATTTCTTCGGCAACGGTAAGGACAAGAAGGTGCGCGCGAAGCAGGGGCCGGCCACCTGGCATGCGAGTGCGCCTGCGATCGTCAAGCCCATGATCAAAGATAAGGCGAAGGAGGACGAGGCAGACGCGCCGACGCATGAGCCGTCACCGGCCACTCCCTCGGCGCCTGCGGTGCACTGAGGGTGCGGACCGCCGCTACCAAGCGGCGGCGTTGCCGCAGGAAATCATATAGCTTGGCATCTGGACGTCCCCGAGCAGGACCCTGAGATCATAGTGATAGACGAGGACAATGGCCATCCGATCCGCACGAAGTTGCTGAGTCAGGCCAACATCACCTACACCCGCCTAAGTCTTCTGCACACCTCGACCATGGAGCATATCCTCCGACTCTTGGAGCGAGGGAAGTGCCGAGGTGTTTGGATGCGACTACATTCCCTCATACCTGACGTTACGAGACGACAAGGGAAGACCCGAAAACAAAGGCAAATATTGATGGCGACCTCCATACTCATCGCGCGCTTGATTCAGCTTCGGTGCGTGCTGGTGGTCGATTCTCAAGCTACGAATGAGGCCTGGCAGGAGGATGATATTCTCAGAGCGACGGCAACGACCTTGCCAGGATATCGGATGACAGATCATCGATGGTGCAGCTACTTAACGTCGGGCAAAGACATGGCCCCGACGACCAGCCAGAGATTCTTTTCCAACCTGGACTTGCTTCCCGACTCGTGCAGCTGTGGTCGGAAGATCTCAGATCACCGCAGATCGACAGGGTTGGAACACGTTCAGCTTGAAGGTCAGTTTCTGACCGTATTTTGGCAGAACCGACTTCGAGACAAGCTATTCGATGCGGTTCGAGGAGAAGTACGTGACGACAATGACACGGATCGAGATGCACGATATCCGCAGACGGGACCGGATGAGCCTGTTGATTCCCACATGGTGGTAACGAAGTCGAAGACGGTCAGCTTCTATCCGACCGACTCTGCCAAGGCCTACAAAGAGAAGCTGAAGTCCAGGAAGGCCGAGGGACACGAACCGAAGAAGAAGGTCAAGAAGATTCTAGATCCCGAAGTCATGGATGACTGCGGCGAGGACCTCGGAGAGCTCAACTACCTACGGAACGAGGAGGTGTGCTGGTGGGAGATGCCGGGCAACGAAGTGGAGGATTACTATCTGGAACCTAGCGAGTTCAAGACGGATGATATCATCGGAAGACTTCGAGACGACCGTCCGCCAGATCGAGAACGACACTTCCTTGACATCCCATCGGGTCGATCCTTCCTGAATCACATAAAGCAGACCGAGAACAGTTTCTTCGTTGATGTGGCCGAAATCATGGGAGGAGAAGGACGCACCACTCAACTACTCGTTCGACGACATTACGCGGGAGGTCGTAACTTTGATGCTCTCATGGGCGTAGATCTCCTCCAGCGTGACGAGGAAATGGAGCTCTACCAATATCTGAAGGAGGAGCGACCCTTTGTGTTAGTGATGGCTCCTCAATGCACTGGCACAGCTGGATGGTGCACGGTCAACGAGTCGATCGGCAGCGAGGTGCACCGTCGCAATGCGGAGGTCTCTTTCAGGCTAGGACAGATTTGTGCGAAGGCGGCTCATATTCAGTTGGGCGGAGGACGCCACTACGTCAATGAGTTGCCGAGGGGAAGCCGTATTTATCGAACTCCAGAATGGATGGGTCTGGCACGGAAGAATCTTACTTGGGTTCAGTTCAACATGTGCATGCTGGGACTCGTCAACTCGAAGAAGGAGCCCTTGAACAAGCCAGAGGAGGTATGGGCGAGTCACGAGGTGCTGATCTATCGGCTGCGTTCCAAGGAGCGTGATCGACAGCATCGGCATGGGGAATGCTCTGGACGTGACACCAAGCCTTCACAGGTATGGACATGGCAATTCGCTCGTATCTTGGCCGATGGCATCTCAGAGTTGATATGGCTTCACGAATTGGACTCGAGGAAGCTGATCTACCCAACAGTGGCGGCGTACCCGAGGATGAATGGCGAAGGAGTACCCGCTCCTATTGACCATCCTCCACCTGGACTACCAGCCCCAGCAGCAGCGGCAGCGGCAGCATATGTACCTCCGCCACCACCCGCACCCGAAGAAGTGTTGGATCCGCGTGCTCGTAGGGCAGCGATCGGACCTCATCTCTGTCCCGGATGTCGGAGAAATTGTGCCAGCACACATCCGACACACAACCGCATCCCTGGACAGTGTCGACATCCGCTGGTACAGCCGCTGGAGTACAACTGCCCCGCATGCAGAACGGGTCGGGATCGGCACGACCCCCGCCACACCTTCGACACAGACTGTCGCCTCCTCATGGACGAGCCCAGAATGATTCGGGCGAGAAGATCGGGATCCGCTCATGCACGGGATCCGCGAGTACCGGCAGCACGAGCGGCAGGTGCTGGTCATCGAGTACATCCCCGAGCAGGAGAAGAAGAGGAGGACGCAGCACCACATCCTGAAGCCGGACCCTCAGGTGCTGCTCCTGCCGCAGCTATGGACGGCGATGATGACGTACAACCTCATCCTGAAGCTGGACCCTCGGGAGCGGCCCCGGATGCAGTAGCGGAGGAAGCCATTCTTCCTGCTGGAGAACCAGGATCTCCGGCCAGGGCAAGCGGAGACGAGGTTGCGCTGAGAAGACGCAGATTTCAAGATGCTATGGCCCAGATCGACACAGGAGCGGACTGGACGCAGTGGGACATGGGACGTGCTATTCAGGGGCTGAGATCAGCGGTTCCTGGAATGGTGCAACGTCCTCTACGTCGCATGCATATACGACTATGGCACGCTCCGGCAGAGAGACTACGGGACCTTCTTTCGGCCGCAGGTCTACCACGAGAAGTGATCAATATGGTGCAGGACGTCGTGGACACTTGCACCGTCTGTCGGGAATGGCAGCGACGAGGCGAAAAGCCGGTGACAAGTTTGACGTTCACCACGACCTTCAATGAAGGAATTCAGTTTGATCTGCTTTTCCTGGACGACGGTATCGTGGTGCACTTGATCGATATGTGTATCAGGTGGGCTCAAGGGCTCTTTGTGAAGTCAAAGGAGCCGGGTGATGTTCTCCCGGCCATCACTCATATTTGGTTTCGAGTCCACGGTCCTCCGAAGTTCATCACCTCGGACCAGGAGGGAGCATTGTTCTCGGATGAAGGAGCTATTTGGGCAGATCGATGGAAGGTGGACTTGAGACCGAAGCCCAAAGGAGCACATGCTCATGTTATTGAACGGAGGAACGACTTACTTCGGACACAGTATCACCGAGTTCGAAGTCAAGCAAATGAAGGCATCCGAGTTTCGAAGGAAGAGTTGCTGGACGAATCCTTGTTGGCCATGAACACCCTCTTGAGCGTTCACGGGACCACGCCATATGCGGCTTTGTATGGTCGGGTTCCGAACATTTTACTGGAGCTCGGAAGGGGGAGGATCCGAGTTCGACGACGAGTCTGGAGGCGCAGTGTCTCGTCATGTTCATCGAGTCAGGGAGTTGGCCCTGGCCAACATCGCGCAGGGCAACGCGCGGGAAAGGCTAAAGATAGCGGCTCGAACGCGAACGAGACCAGCGGCTCAGCTCGGAGATCTTCGTGTAGGGGACTCGGTCGATATCTTCCGGGACCCGCCGAACAAGGATGTCACTGGCTGGCGAGGACCCTGCAAGGTAGTTGCCATGGATCGAGCTGACGAGGGCATCATCGATGTACGATGGCAGGGTCGCACGCTACCGTGCCGCCCAGCCGATGTTCGCAAGGCAGTGACATGGTTGACTCTCATGGCGGCTCCTGGCCGCGGTGACACCAAGCCGTACCAGCTCTTAGTATACTACGTGGAGAACATGGCGGCGGGCACTACGTTACTCCTGGGATATGAGATCGGCGAGGATGGACACTGGAGGATGACGAAGACCAGTCGTCGGCTGCCGACTCTGACGACGGCAGCTTTCCACGTGGCCGCCTGCGACTTTCACTTATATGGAGTCGTGGCCACGAGACTAGGGTACGGTTCGCGAGAAGTTCCAGCTGCCCGAGGACATCACACGTGCATGATCGTATGGTGGCTTCCAGGAGAATCGATTGGCTATCACCACGCAAGTTTCGATCCTCGAGCGAAGGCGAGTGCACAACATCTGATGGGGCCAGGCTTTGGACGCGTGTGCTGGGTGCAGTTTCTAATGGTGGAAATTTCTACGGCCGAGGTCTTGCGACGGATTGACGTTGACGTACCCCACGTTGGAGGTCCTCAACAGATGCCCGACTTTCCAGCACCACGCGGTCAAGTACGGCCTCGCGATCCGCATGATGTGGAAGAACGACCAGATCGATGGCATCGCTGGCCCACTCCAGAGGCAACCATCGACGAGGAGTCAGAGGCATCTGAACCTCAGGCTCAAGGGGTGGCTCATCCCCGAGATGCGGAGGCGGACCCCGAACTGCTAAGGCCTACGTGGCGACCATTTCAACAGCCGTATCGGATAGAGCCAGACGTCAACTCAGATGTGCAGGACCTGTGGCTGGAACCCTGGGATCCCGGATGGATGCGACACGTGAGGACAGAGTTCAGCTTCTTTCACGCTATCCTTGACAGCCAATCACCGCCGGACGCTGAGTACTGGTTGGATTCTCGAGTGTTGGAAGCTGTTGAGGTGGCTACTTATCTTGAGAATACAGAGAAGGAGATGCAAGTTCTGGAGGTGGAGTTCGAATCAGAGATCTCCAGGCTTGTGATCATGACCACCGATGCACACGACTTGCCCAAGTCTGAGATCTTCTCCCTCTTTGCGAACGACGGGGGCCATCGTGTTATTCTGTCCGTCAACTCGACGGGGAAGACCAAGATGGTTATTGAAAGAGAGGCTGACGAACTCAACAAGGATGACCTGATCAAGCATCGAGTGGAGGTGGAAAAGGCTATGTCGAAGGAGCTAGGCAACTGTATTGAGTTGGGTGCGCTCAAGCAACGAAGCAGGCTAGGGTGCACCAACTTGATGGACTCTCGATGGGTTATCCGTTGGAAGAAGCAGCCGGACGGTAAGTTGGCAATCAAAGCACGACTATGCATCAAGGGCTTCAAAGATCTACAGCAGGATCGTCTGGATACCTTCAGTGCGACTGCCTCGAGGCAAACCCAGAGGATAGTGAATTTCATCGCGGCAAGTCGCCCCAAGTGGGTGTTGTGGTCCTGTGATGTTGGCAGCGCATTTCTGAAGGGACTTACATTTCAAGACGTGGCATATATGACAGGGGAGCCCCTCAGAACTGTTCAGTTGGACCTGCCCAAGGACACGGTAAAGATCGCAAGGCAGTTTGAACCATTATCCAACTATGATGTGAGTCGGCACTGCTTGGAGATGGTACGTCCAGGTTTCGGCCTCAAGGATGCGCCAAGGTTATGGAATCTCAAGCTAAAACAAGTAATGACGAAGCTTCAACTCTTGCCGTTGGTGACATATTCCCAATTTTACTGCAAATGGGCTGGCTCTCGATGTGAACCTGTACCTCGTGAGCTGGTACCCATGAGCGCGGACAAGGACAAGGCTCGAGGCACAGACGTGTCATTCACCGACCCGGAGATAGCGATCAAGGACTTGCAGATGGTGTGCAGTACACGCGTGGACGACCTCAAGGAAGCCTCGACCGATCCGATTGCTGACGCCTTTATGGATGCTCTCGAGTCGGAATTCGGAAAACTCACAAGGCAGAAGAGAAGGTTCGAGCACTGTGGCGTTGTTCATGATCAGCATGAAGACGGATCTGTGTGGTGCTCTCAGGATCACTACGCGGCTCAACTTCGGCCGATGCAGGTAGACAAGATTCGGGCTGATGAAGAAGCCCTCGATTCCCAAGACCGAACTTCATTTTGGTCACTCTTGGGTGGAGCAGCCTGGATGTTAGTCACGCGAGCAGATGTTGCAGTCCATATTGGATACCTACAACGACACGCTCATGAACCTTGCTGGAAACATGTTCGACACTTGAACTCAGTTGTACGCTGGATCAAGAGAAAGAAGAGTTCGCTTGTCTACTATTCAGTACCTCTACCATGGAGCGTTGTGGGTTTCCCCGACAGTGCTTTTCGGGCGACCGAGCCGGACTGCCTAGCTGTGAGAGCGGCAGTTATCGCGATTGCTGGTCGGGACTTCATGCCAAAAGGAGGACTGTGTGCAGCAGTGGAGTTCTACTCACGAAAGCAACCTCGAGTATGTCGTTCTACTTTCTCGGCGGAGCTGGCAAGCGTGGATGATGGTATCAGCAATGCACTGTTGACGCAGGTGATGGTGTGTGAGATCGTTCACGGCCCTTTGACGGCGAAACAAATTCAGATATGTATGGATACAGGAAGGCTACCAGTTGATTTGCATGTCTGCACGGACAACAGGGGCCTGTTCACGGCGCTGGGTGCAACAGAACTGAAGGCACCAGCGGAACCTCATCTTTTATATTTACTGCGCGCTCTACGCGATAGACTTGAAGCAGGTGCTCTCTGTAAGCTCTGGTGGGTGGACAGTAGAGCCATGATCAGCGATGCGTTGACCAAGGGCGGACTGGCTCGAGAACCTATCTTGAAGTTGTGGGGGGCGGCAGTGTTGATGATAACTGGAGATGAACCCCTGGCTCTGTGCTTGCGGGGTCCTCACAAGGATACCAGTGAGTGGGAATATCAGTGAATCTTGATCTTTGCATACTTCGATGGATTGCAGGATTTTCAACGAAGATTGGTCGACTGTATTTGCAGGGGGAATTTTGTTCCCATTCTTTTGTGTCTACGCTGTGGTAGACCGTATACGTGGCTTGCGCGAGATGTATTGTTTCTCGCTGTATTTCATTCTTCAATCACTGCTATTCTTTGTTCATGGCAGGATACATCAATCTTGTCTGCTACTGTGGTATTGGCAGTAGCTTCCGAGGTGTTCTTTGTGAGTTTATTTCAGCCGTCTTTCCCCCCTTTTTAGCCTCTGGAGTTCCCGTGTTGTGTTCAGGGTGCTCCAACATAGAGCACTGTATGTTATGGGTGACTTGCCTATCAGAGGTCGGTTGCCAGTGGCGGGCCAGCCGCAAGAAATGATCTGCTGTGCTCTCAGTGCGTGTGCGTGGGATCAGCTCGTAGACTTTCGCTGCGTTGTCCCACCCCGAGTTGATGTGTAGACGTCCTCCCGAGATAAGGGAGGGGAAGCATGAGTGCCCAGCATGTAGCGAGGTATGTATATGACAGAGCGGCGTGATCGCCGTTTTGGCTCAAGCCATTCAGTGAGTAGCCTCACGCGAGTGCGAATCCTGTTTGCGGCGGCAAGCCCCTCTTTCCCCATCTTTCCATATCAGATAATCCAGATTATCAGAGTCACGACGTTCCTCGTGGTCCTCTCCCTCTTCGTGGCCCTCAGGGCCAACAAGGCTCTCAGGACCGGCACGCTGGGAGTGCCAGTGTCACCTCTGTCGGCGGACGCGCTGACAGACTTCGACGGCGGCGAACCTCTGGGGGCGTTGTCCCAGGAGGAGGAGCGAGAGGAAAACAATTGGAGGAGGAGGAGGGGGAGGAGGAGGAGGAGGAGGAGGAGGAGGAGGAACAAAAAGGAGAGGCGGGAGTGGAGGAGGAGGAGGCGGAGGAGGAGGGAGGAGGAGGAGGAGGAGGAGGCAGGAGGAGGAGGAGGGAGGGAGGAGGAGGAGGAGGAGGAGAGGGAGGAGGGAGGAGGAGGAGGAGGAGGAGGAGGAGGAGGAGGAGGACGAGGACGAGCACGAGGAGGAGGAGGAGACTGAGGAAAAGGAGGAGGAGGAGGAGGTGGAGGAGGAGGAGGGGAGGAGGAGGAGGAGGCGGAGGCGGAGGCGGAGGCGGAGGCGGAGGCGGAGGCGGCGGAGGAGGAGGAGGAGGAGGAGGAGGAGGAGGAGGAGGAGGAGGAGGAGGACGAGGAGAAGGAGCAGGAGGGCGCGCCCAGGCGTGCATCCCGCAGATCGCGGCTGTCGGCGTCTACATGTGGACTGCGAGCTCCTCCGGCGCGGTCGTGGAACAGGGCGCTCAGATCGCCCGCCGCTCGGTTTCACCAGCTTCTGGGGTGTTGGCGGCGAAGAGGGGAGGATCAGAGGAGGAGAAGGGTACCGATACCGTTGCTCGTCCTGGAGAGCTCTCCTCGCCACGGCCGGATTATCCCTGAAAACTTGGTCAAAACACCGTGGGCGAGGTCCGTCGTGTGTGTGTGTGTGTGTGTGTGTGTTTGTATGTGTGTGTGTGTCCTGAACGCGAGGAACAGCGGAGGGGGACAAGGTACCGATACCGCCACCTTTGCCTCGGGCCTCCTGTGAGGCCCTCGTCGCCACGGCTGGATTCTTCTCGAAATCCTTGTCAGAACGCACCCTGGGAGGGGTCTGGGGAGTAGCAGTGTCTGTATTCTCTTTGTCCCCCCAGGGGAGGAGGAAGCAGGGAGGAGGAAGTCAGGATGAGGAGGATTGTAATGGAATGTAACGGGTGCGGCCCCAAGGATGGCAAGGTGGCGAGCCGTCTCAGAACAGAAACGCCGTGGCGACGAGGGCAACCCAAGGACACCACGAAGAGGCCAGACCTGCCTCCCACCTGCTGCCTGATGCCAGCAGGACACCCGGGGCCAGGCACCACACCCGCACAGGCCCGCGGGCCGGGAAGAAGCCTCAGGACCCCGAGAGACGCCGTACCGGCCACGCGGGGCCGACGACCGCCAGTTTCCCGAGCCACCCGCGAGATCGCGCCCGCCCAGCCCTCGCCCCACGACGCTCACGGCGTGTGAAGCTTGGCCTCGCCGCTGGGCGGCCTCAGCGCTCGTCGCAAACGCCGCCGAAGAGGCCCTGCACGAACACGGCCACGAGCCCCAACCCATCGACCGTGCCGAAGAAGCACCCCTGCACGTACCGCTCGGCGTACCTGCGAAGGACCTCCAACCCCGTCACCCTCGCGAGCGCGGCCTCGTGTTCGGCGGAACCGTCCACGAGGCCGCCGACGGCCGCCCTGAAGGCCTCCAACGCGCTGATGAAGATGCCCACGCCGTCGTCGCTCCCCGCAGCACCGTCCAAGGGCCCCGCGGGCCGCCCTGCCACGCCGCACCTCTGCCTGCAGGGTCTTCCGCTCGCCGGCCTCGAGCCGCCACTGGGCCAGGCCGGCGTCGCGCGCCGCGACCACCCGCGAGTAGGCTTATTGGGTGGCCATGAGCATGGATCCCGAGCGCTGCTGCATGCCGAGTTCCTGGGCCGTGCCGTCGTTCACGGTCTCTGCAGACGTCCTGGTGAGGAGGAGAACGGAGGAGGCGGAGGAGGAACCAGAAGGAGGAGGAAGTAGGAGGAGGAGGAGGAATAGGAGGAAGAATAGGATGAGGAATAGGAGGAGGAACATGAGAAGGATTAGGGGGAGGATAAGTATGAGGAGGATGAGGAATATGACGAGGTATATGACGAGGAAGAGGAGGATGAGGAGTAGGATGATGATGATGATGATGATGATGATGATGAGGATGAGGATGAGGATGAGGAGGATGAGGATGAGGATGAGGATGATGATGATGATGATGATGATGATGATGATGATGCTGACGGTGATGATGATGATGATGCTGATGATGTGATGATGATGATGATGCTGATGATGATGAAGATGATGATGATGCTGATGCTGATGCTGATGATGATGATGATGATGATGATGATGATGATGATCATGATGATGACGATGATGACGATGATGATGATGATGATGATGATGAGGATGATGAGGATGATGATGATGATGATGATGGTGATGATGATGATGATGATGATGATGATTATGATGATGATGATGATGGATGATGATGATGATGATGATGATGATGATGATGATGATGATGATGATGATGATGATGATGATGATGATGCTGATGATGATGCGATGATGATGATATGATGATGATGATGATGATGAGGATGATGATGATGATGATGATGATGATGAGATGATGAGGATGATGATGATGATGATGATTGATGATGATGATGATGATGATGATGATGATGATGATGATGATGATGATGATGATGGATGATGATGATGATGATGATGATGAGGAGGAGGAGGATGAGAGGAGGAAGAAGTGGAGGAGTAGGACGAGGAATAGGAGGAGGAGGAGGAGGAGGAGGAGGAGGAGGAGGAGGAGGAGGAGAATGAGGTGGAGGTGGAGGAGGAGGAGAGATAGAAGAGAGAGGAGAGATAGGAGAGAGGAGGAGAGCGGAAGAAGAGCAGTGAGCAAGATCAGCCAGGATTTTTCCGCGACTCCAGATCTGAGGACCCCTGCACGGGTGCTCCAGAGGCCCCCCGAGCCGAGGTGCAGAACACGCCCACGAGCTTCTACCCCATCAGCTTCGAGTACTTCAAGGCGGCGCCTCCTGTGGCTGACTCTCGGCCTCCGACGCGGGATCAGAGGATCGCTCTGCATCGCTGACACTGCTTGATGTGCAGCCCGAGCAGCTCCACGCTGACGTCGCCGACGCACTGCCGACGTCGCCAGTGCATCGGCGCTGCATCGGCGCTGCGTCACCGCCGACGTCGCCGCTGCATCGGCGATGCGGCGCGATCTCCCGACCACCTCTTTTGGGACCTCATCTGGGAGGCCTCTACTGAGGGCGAGGGCACGAGTGTAAACATTCCACGCGCTGCCACCCTCCCCCCCCCAAGGGGCGGTCGCCCCTGCGGGGTTGATCAGGTAGTGGTCCGTAGAGTAGAACAAGCAGGAGGAGGCCTTGGGCTCGGCGTAGATATCTGCGACCCCAAGGGTGAGGGAGAGAGAGGGAACGACGAATCGGCGCGACGTCCATATTCTCCTCCTCGATTGCTGTTTCAGGGTTGCAGCTGGAACGACGCGTTCTCATGCACCATTTTTGGGTCAGGTCGTGCGCGAAGGCAGGCGGACCGAGTCATCAGGCCATGGAGGCGGGACTTCACCCGGGACTCCCGTTGGACCCCCTCCCCAGAGGGCGTGGTCCCTTTGTCCCCCGTTCACGGGGGACACCCCCCGGGACACAGCCTGCCCCCTTCCCGGTACCCCCCTGTTCCCTCCTTACCTCCGCCCCCCGTACTCCCCCCCCCTCGTCGGGGAGGGGAAGGGGGGGAGGCAATCGACTTAACTACGGCGTTTCTTTTCTCTGTGCGTTCCTTGTTCTCTCGGGACTGGCGACGATGACGACGTCGACGAAGACGAAGACGACGACAGCGTCTCACACACGCCGAAGGGCCGAAGGGTCGGCGGATTTCCGGGAATGCCGAGTCCCCCAGGCTTCTCCTCTCCTCCCCAATTCCCCAGAGCAGAGCGAGCAGAGCGACCCAGATTGAGCTGGGTTGATGTTGCGTCATCCCTTACGGTGCAGGAAACAGCTGCGAGAAGACGCGCGAGAGAAGACAAGGTGGATGGAGCCCAGTTTCTGCCGCGCGCCCCGCCTCGGGATGGCCTCCAGCCGACGCGCCCGTCAGTCAGCCAGACAGTCGCCCCTTCCAGTCTTCCTCGCTCATCCGCCTCCGCCTCCGCCTCCTCCTCCTGCTCCTCCTCCTCCTCCTCCCCTCCTCCTCTCCTCCTCCTCCCCTCCTCCCCCGGCTTCTCCTCCTCCTCCTCCTCCTCCTCCTCCTCCTCTCCTCCTCCTCCTCCTCCTCCTCCCTCCTCCTCCTCCTCCTCCTCCTCCTCCTCCTCCTCCTCCCTCCTCCTCCTCCTCCTCCTCCTCCTCCTCCTCCTCCTCCTCCCCTCATCCGCGACCCCCCGCACGCTTTCTGCTCCCGCTGGGCCCCCCCCGAGGCGGCTGGAGAGGGCTATCGGATCAACGGCGTGCTGGTCAACAACATCACGAGCTTCGAGACCATGTTCCCCTTTTTCCTCCGTCCGCCCCCGTCCCAGGGCGCGACGAGCACCTCGCCGTCCGTGGGGGGTGCGCTCCGTTGTGGGCGTTGCATGGCCGTGCGGTTCAGAGGCGTCAGCTCCTAGGCCAGGTGGCGATGCGTCGTCTAAGGGCGCATTCTGCGGGCCTCGGGATTGGCACCTCGGGATGGACTCAGAAGGGTCCTCTTGCCACCACCTCATCCTCCCACCTCCTCCTCCTCGCTCGCCCTCCGACACCATGCTGCTCTTTCCTCCTCCCGCCTGCCCCCCTTCCCCTCCCGCCTCGCCTCCTCCCTCTCCCGCCCCGAGCGCAGTCCTCGTCGTCGCCCCCCCCTTCCTGTCTTGATACTCGGCGCGGGTCTGCGTTCGCAGGGGGCCTCGGAGTGCAGTGGACACCGGGTCCCAGGGTCTCGCTCGCTCGCTCGCCCTCCTCCTGGTCGCATTTCTTCCACTTCTCCTGGTCCCTCCTTCTGCTATCCTTACGTCGGGCCTGTCCCTCTTCAGGGGGAATATTCAGAAATAGTTAGTTAATTGTCTGGGGACGGTTTTTTATGACTATTTTTGAACATTTTTGGAGTACCTCACGTGCCCACTTTTCATGGGTGGTCGTGTACCCTGGGTTCGACGGATTCCCTCCCCCCCCCCTTCGGAGGCTCTCGTCCTCCCACACTCTCCGTGCGAGACAGGGAACGGCGGGGGCCGGTGATGCTCGGGTGCAGGCCTGCGCTCCACGCGGGCCGGCGTGTGGAGACACACAGGCGCGCGCGGGGCCCCTTCCTCTCCTCTGCTCTCTTCTCGCGGCCTGCGCTGCCGCTCCCGGGCGCTGGGCGCGGGAGACCGCCGAATCGCCGCGCGATCGGCTGCCGAGCACAAGGCGTGTGCACACGGGTGCGGGCCCGGGTGCGGTTGTCGCGGCTGAGGAGGGGGTGAGGGGCGCGCCAGAGGAAGGGGTCCTCTAATTGCCCTTGCCCTTGTTGCTCCTTCTGCTCACTTTCCTCCCCTGTCTCTGGATGCAACTCCTGGCAGGTTGAGGTCAGCATCGGTGCTGCTGTAGCCGTGGCCAGCCCCGTTGAGCCCATCTGACATAATGTAGCCCTTCTTGATCCGAAGTTGGTTTCATTTGGCTTGGTCCGCCTTCGTAGACCTCGAATCGAGCTTCATTGTCACCTATTCGTTCCCACGGCTTCCTAGGAGCGTATGCCGTTTTTCCGAAGCTTTCCGCCGCAGCGGAGCCGCTTGTGCCACACCTGCAGCCAGTTTTCCTGGCGATGCGGCGCCCGCCCTGATCATGCCAAGCCTTCGGCCGTCATGTGCCTGATTTCGATTTGCGATTCGGTCCAGCCCGAGATGTCTTATACTGACAACCGAAGGATGATGAGGAGGAGGAGGAGGAGGAGGAGATGGAGGGACACGGGAGGATAACTGAAACAGACACTGTGACCAGAAGTATGTGATGATCCGCGCGACGTTTAGGACCGCAGATCACGATCATGATGTTTGTGGTGATGGACATGGCGACCGCGATGATGGCGATTATGATGATGGTGATACTGGTGTGGTGACGAATGTGAGACAGATGGTCATGGTGGTGGCGATATCGATTGCGATGGTGATATCGACGATGATGAAGGTGAACATGATGATGAAGATGATGAGGTTGATGATGATGACGATGATGAGGATGACGACGACTTTGCTGCGGATGATGGTTATGGTGATGATGATAATGATGTTGCTCATGATTCTAACGATTGTGTTTCTTCGTATCCGTAGCATGATGATGATGCTGATGCTGGTGATATTGATGCCGCTGCTGCTGATGCTGATGATGAGGCTGATGCTGGTGATGATGATGCTGATGATGATTATGATGGTTTTCATGATTTTATAATCATGATGATGCCGATGCTGATGAGGGTGGCCATGAGTACCACATTGGCCTCCGATGTCTCAAATGTTTTAGTCCCGATGCGTCCAAAGTAGTACGCATTCTTATATTTCATTCGCCCCCGTCCTCATGCCCATCCTCCGCCCTTAACCTCCGTCCCTTCCCCCTCAGTGTTTCAGATGTGATGTTTTCCTCTCACGTTATGTCCCCTGTTTATCATTCGCCCTTTTTCTTCAACGAAGGCTTACTTGGACACCATCAGAAATACGTGGGGCAGTAAGCACGTGTCGCACGATCAAAAAGTTTGTTTGAAAGACGCGCGAATCTGCGAGCCGGTATTAGGGGAATGTTCGATTCCTTGGTGGCAATCTCCGACTGCGCCCAAAACCGGTGGAACGTGGGTTGGGTGCACTTGGCCTCTTTGGGACACCCGGGAGCCCCCCTGGGAATTCCGTCATCGCTAGAATTTTCCCAGAGCCTTGTCAACGTGTCCGAATTTCTCCGAAGCCGTCGGGAAACATAACATCGGGGGGCTTCCGACGACGGTCGGAACATCCGAAATCACCTGGCCGTCTTCGACACGTTTGGGAACGGGTCACTTCCAGGGCGCGTCTTCTTGAGATTTCAAGGAACGAGGCAGATAAGAAGGGAGAGGAGGAAACGCGGGGGAGGAGGAAGAGGAACAAGAAGAGGAGGAATTGGAGGAGGACTAGGAGGAGGAGGATGAGTAGGAGAAGGAGGAGGAGCAGAAGGATGATGTTGCTGATGAGGATGATGCTGGTGATGCTGTTGCTGACGATGATGATGCCGACGATGCTGATGATACTGATGATGCTGATGATGAGGTTGCTGAAGATGATGATGCTGATGATGATCATGATGCTTGTTTTAATGTTGATGCTGATCATGATGCTGGTGATGATGATGCTGATGACGGTGATGATGATGGTGATGATGGTGACGATGTTGTTGTTGATGATGATGATGATGATGATGATAATGATGATGACGATGATGATGATGACGAGGAGGAGGCGGAGGAGGAGACGGAGGAGGAGGGAGGAGGAGGAGGAGGAGCAGGAGCACAAAGAAAAAGCAAGGGCATTGGGAGCAGGAGGGAGGTTGGAGCAGGAGGAATATAAGGAGGGGGAGGGGAAAGGTGAGGGGAAGGAGGGGGAGCATGGGGATGAGGAGGAGGAGGAGGAATAACGATGAAGGAGAAGGGGATTCTGATGCTGCGCAGGCTGCTCCTCATGATGATGGTCATGGTGGTGGGGTGTTGATGATGATGCTGCTGCTGACGATGATGATGATGCTGATGATGATGATGCTGATGATGATGATAATGATGCTGTCGATGATGCTGCTGCTGCTGATGATGATGATGATGATGATCATGATGATACTGAGGATCATGATGATGGGGATCATGATGATGCTGATTATGATGATACTGCTGGTGATTGATGCCAATGCTCATGACAGTTGTGAGCACTACAATGATGACGACGATGGGGCAGATGATTTTGATGATGATGGTGATGGTGTTTATGATGCTGATTATGATTATGATGATGAGGATCCTGATGATGGTGATGCTGCTAGTGATGATGATGCTGATGATGATGCTGCGTGTGGCTGTGATGCTGAGGGTGGTGCTTGTGGTCGTCGTGGTGGTGGTGGTGATGACTATGATGGAAACGACGACGAAGATGCTGCTGCTGCTGCGGCCGATGCTGCTGCTGATGATGATGTTGATGATGGTGATGGTGGTGGTGGTGGTGGTGATGCTGATGGTGAAGCTGGCGATGAGAGGTGGTTGTTGTGATGATCATAGCGAGAGTGATGATGAAGCTGATGATGATGATGATGATGCTGATGCTGATTATGATGATGATGATGCTGGTAGTGTTTTTGTTTTTGATGGTGCTGATGCTGATGATGATGGTGATGGTGATGCTACTGACGTTAACTTTGATGCTGCTGCTGACTGTGATGCTGACGATGACGGCGACGAGGATGATGAGGTGGGGGTAATACTGATCAGTGCGATTCTGATGCTGCGGACCTGGATGCTTTCGCCGACGACGACGATACTAGCTATACAATATTTTAATGATGACCATGGTCATGGTGATGATGACGATACGAAGCTGGTGATGGCGATGCTAATGATGATGGCAATGATGCAGGTGATCGCTGATGATTCGGATGCTCATGCTGAGTATTATGCTGCTGCTGTTGTTGCCGCTGCCGCTTATATTGATGCTGCTGATGATGCTGCTGCTGATGATGATGATTCTGATGATGATGCTGCTGCTAATGATGATGATGCTGATGATGATGATTATGATGATGATGGTGGTGGTGGTGATGATGATGATGCTGATGATGATGCTGATGATACTGATGACGACGATGATGATGATGAGGAGGAGGAGGAGGAGGAGAAGGATGATGATGATGGTGATGATGATGATGCTGATGATGATGATGATGACGGTGGTGGTGATGATGATGACCATGATAATAATGATGATGATAATGAGGATGAGGATGAGGATGCTTGAGGAGCAGTGGGTGGAGGAGGAGGAGGAGGAGGAAAGCGAGAAGGAGAAGGAGTTGCAGGGTGGAGAAAGGGGCATTGAGGAGGAACAAGAGGACAGCTGCGAGGAGGAGGAGGAGGCAGTAAAGGGAAGGTGGGGGGGAGGACGGAGGAGGGAGGACGGAGGATGGGGGAAGAGGGAGGAGGGACCGAGGGTGGAATGAGGGGGGGCTGGCGCTCGTGCGCGCGCGCGAGGTTCGCCCTCCTTGACATCGACGGCAGCGGCGGGCTGGCCAGCGGCGAGTTTGCGGGGCTCCCAGGCCCACCCTGCATGCTGCGGCACTCCTTTCTTCCTTACTTCCCTAACTCCTTTCTTCCTTACTCCTTCTTTTCTTCCTTCTTTTCTTCCTTCCTTGATTTCTTCTCTTCTTCATTTCTTCTTCACTTCCTTCCTTCCTCATTTCTTCCTTCCTTTCTTCCTTCCTTCCTCCTTGCTTCCCTTCTTTCTTCCTTCCTGTGGGGGCCTCGGGGGGGCCTTCGAACTGTGAGGAGCATGGATCTCGGAGGATCGCATTTCAACGATCGCCAGATGTTTCTGGGTACGTTTTGCTATTCCTGGGCCTCCAGGGGCACTCCACGGCTGGATAACGCCTCGAAATTCAGACCCCGACGCGCCCCAGGATGGACAGGTGGGTCGTTTTCGTTGACCTCCGAACCCCTCGCGCCGTGGACAAGACGCAATTCCAGATCTTCGACGATAGTTTTGTTTCTTAATCCCAGCGTTTCTCTTTGACTTTGGCCCTTGGGGTTCGTTATGTGTCCCCGGGAACATCACAAATGGCCCTGGAAGCACCAATTACCCGTGGGGCGGGGCTCGGGCCATGCTGGGGCAGCGGATCGACGAGAGCATAATATGAGAGGATGTCTTGAGTTGTGCAGTCAACCTTCGTAGTAAGGATGAGCAACTTTCCAAGGTTACCACTGCATCCTCCCCCTTCGGCCCCATCCTTGGCCGCTCGCGCTGGCCGCGCCCCGCCCGCAAAGTGTCAACATAGCCTTCCAAGGCCCTTGTATTCTTGCCGCGCATTCTCATTCTACGGGTTGCCTGTATCGGAGGTTGTCGGTTGTTGTCGGTCTCTGGATCGTGTGCGGACCACGGGGGCTGTGAGAATATACGGCTTGGGACGGAGAGCCCCAAATGGAGTGTGACACACATGGGGGGGTGAAGCACAAGGGCCCCGAAGGGGCCCTTTCTGGGCCCCGTGTGGAGCCAGTTGGTGCCCAGAAGGGGCCCCAAAGGGCCCCTTTGAGGGCCCTTCTCTTCACCGCCCGTTTGTGTCACACCCCGTTGCCGCCCGCCCGACTCCCCCCCTCTCCTTCCCCGCCTATAGACTTCTCCGAGACCCTCGGCGTGAGGAGTCCGCCGGGTGCCGGTTTTTGGCTTCGGGCCCGCGGACGGCCTGCGGCGGAGCGCGGACCCCGCTGGCCGCGGCTGGACCGAGGCCTGGGGTGCGGGGGTCGCACCCGGATGCCCGACGTTGCAGTCACGGCCTCACCCCCGCGCCGTTCCTCGGGGAAGAAAATGATGCTGCGGGGCCGGGGCAAGGATGCATCCGTTCCGGGGCGTTTCCGGAGCGCTCCCGAGGCGTTCGGGGCACTCCGAGAAGGCCGCGGCGCCCGATGCAGCCTCCAGAGCCGCCGGACTTCAGAGATTCTCGATTGATCCTCACCCGAATATGTCCTCGTCCTGGCTTCGTTTGACAACATGCAGAAACATAGCCTTTCGGAAAGTCCGCGCGGATGTCTCGGATCGGCGCTGAAGCCCTCTGGCGGCCTCCAGCGCCGCCCCTGGCGAGCTCCGCGCGCCAGGGAGAGGGGTACAGCGCCGATTCAAGAAATACGCGCCCCGCCCCGCATCAGCCGCACTCACTCGCCCATCCGCCCGAGCCTTTCCAGGCCACAGCGTCGGAGTGTCTGGCCGAGGGGCGGTGGGAGGAAGGGCACGCGCGCCCGCCCCGCTGCTCGTTTTTTTCGGCGAGCGCCAGCTTGACTCCTCCTTTCGCTCGGGGACAGGAGCATGACCATGAAGCTGTGTTCGCAACCGCAGCCGCTCACAGTGCAGTTGACATTCGTGGGGGTAGGTTCACGAGCGTGAGACAGTCAGCAACACGCGTACAGAGTGTTTTGGGCGAGGGACCGCATGCGGTTGTCTATGTTCCAGTGGCGCTGCCGCGCGATCACGCCATCGCGCTCGGCCGGGCGGTGGGGAGGGGGGGGGGCGCTTTGTGGAGGGGGAGGGAGGAGGGGCCACAGACCTCCCCCTTCCTGGGCTTTGTATGTGGGACCATTCGCGGCCTGGAAGGCTAAAACGCAGGGCCAGGGACGTGGCCACAAAAATGAACGCATCTTGTGATCGATGCATCGGGGACCCTCTCTATTGCCTCGCAAGAGGCGCAAGGGCCCGACGCACACCGATCGCTGCAAGCGCGGTGGCGGGTATGTGTGCGACTCCCCCTCGCGCCGTCGTGAGCTGACCCCGCCCCATCCAAGCCATGCTGCAGAAGCTGGCCAGCACCACGCGGAGGCTGCAGGACGACGAGGACCCGCGGGAGTGTGGGGGGGTCCGCGGACCAGCGGTGAGCCAGCCCTGAGGGGCTGAGCTCAGAGGAGCAAGAGGTCATGTCGGCGGCCAGCCTGGGGGGGCGGGCCTTCCCAGAAGGCTCGGAAGCCCCCCCGGCCTTCTGAGAAGTTTTCTAAGCCATCCCCGCAGATACAGACAGCTTCTCAGAAGGCCAGAGGTCTTCTAAGAAGGCCCGCCGCCTTTGAGAGGGTCTCCTCCTTCTCACTTCCCACCCTCGCTCGCCGCCGATCATGATTTGGGATGGGCACGCGTCCACTAATCGTCCCCACTAAGTCACTAGGGCGCGTGTGGGCAGGTTTTGTGGCCCCTTGATGGCCAACGACAGTATTCTCGATGGCCACGCCCCAAACCACGGCATGTACAAGTCTGATTGGTTTGCGAAACCGTGCTTTGCATTTCTGGCGAGTTTTGCAATTTCTCTTGACCTGCACTTTTGGGGGGCCGTATTCCTGTGAAGAGTAGCGGACGAGTGCAAAGACCAAGTCATGACAACGATACGCTCCACGATTTCCCTCCTGATGTTCCACGCAGGCTGCAGAATCGAGGGCCGCTAGATACTGAGGAATTGCTGACTCGTATCCTGAGCCAGCCATGAGGGGCTGAGCCTTTGAAGGAAGGCACCAATGCATTCCCGCCGCTGGGTCGGAGGGAGGCTTTCGCTGACTTTCGTTCGAGGTTTTCTCGCCTCGGGATGCTGGCCAGCAGCTACGCCTCGCCGAGGGCGTTCCTGGGGGGAGGGGGCTCCAGATTGTCCCGAACGGCCGCCGCGGGCCCGAGGTTTGGCCCGCAAGCCAAACATCCAGCGCAATGGAACATTCAATGCCGAGGGTGTGTGCCGTTTTTGGCCTCCTGCAGCCCCTCGCAGGGGCCGTCAAAAGACGGCGCGGGATCAAAATCGTGCCCCGGGGTGAAGGGACCGACAATCCTGTGATGCCAATGCAGTCAAAGCGCATAGCAAGGATTAGCAACTTTCCGAGGTTACCCACGCATTCGTGCCCCTTCGGCCCATCCTTGGCACTCTTCGCTGGCTTTCCCCGTTCGGAAGACGTCAACGTGGCCTTCCAAGGCCCTTGCCCCCCCTCTGCCGCACATCCTTATCACGCGTTTTGATTGTGCATCGGATCTGCGGGCACCCTTGCATCGTGGAGCGAGCGAGCTGGCCACGCGAGCATGTTCATCGGCTGCTCGGCCCTGAGCAGGGCATGGGTGAGCAATCAGTCCACCAGCCAGACAACGCATGTGTAAAGCATGCACAGCATATAACATTGGGAAGGAGTACGGCATCTTCCAAGCAGTGGCGAAGCGTCCTAGCTCGCCTATAGGCCTACCTAATAATTTTGTAAGAACCTTTCGTGGTCTGCACGAAATGTTCTTAGAGCATTTCTGGCTGAGACTGTCTTGTTTTAGCACACCGGGCTTCTGTTCTAAGAACATTGTTTTCGTTCTTAGGACGTTTTTGGGTGCCAAGAGCATTTCGTGGTAGGCCTATAGGAATGCCGGGACGGTCGGTCCCTGCTCAAATCTTGGAGCGGTGAGCCCTCCCCGTCTGCGCGGTGCCCAGAGGTGCGGAGGCCGGCCGATCGGCGCGCGGTCGGGCTATATTTGCCGCGCTCCGCGCAGCGCCGTGCGAGGCCTATCGCGGGCAGCCTCCGCCTCGGGGCCGGCGTGGATCCGAGGCGGGAACTCAGATAGATATGACCACCGCCTGGAGGGTCAGTTTTCGGAGCCTCGGCAGGCGGTGGATATGGGCATATTCGGGCCCCCGGGGGCCGAATTATACCATATCCACCGCCCGCGAGGGCACCAGGACGTCGGTTCCCAGCTGGAGCGGTGAGGCGAGGTGCCCGGCAAGCTTCTTCGGCGGCGCGCCCAGGGGGGGAAACGAGAGGGAGGAGGCCTTCTCAGGAGGCGGCTGGGCTTCCCGGAGGCCCTGCGGCCTTCCGAGGAGTGTTCTTCGTCCTCGGGGGAGCGCGGAGGAGTTCTCTCTGTGGCTTCGGGGCAGGCGCAGACGTGATGGGCCTGTTTTCCACCACCACCACCATGAGATGGAGGGGGGAAGGAAGGGGAGGAGCAGGAGCAGGAGGAGGAGGAGAAGGAGGAGGAGGAGGAGCAGGAGGAGGTGCAGGAGCAGGAGGAGGAGGAGGAGGAGGAGTACTAATAATAAGAATATGAATGATAATAATAATATTAATCCGAGTAATAATATTGAGTTCAATATTGATAAGAAGAAACATACTATTAATCATACTAGTGATACGAATAATAATCATGAAACTAATAATAATAAGAAGAAGAGGAGGCGGAGGAGGAGCCCCTCCCCCCTCCTGCTTTTGGTGGTGGTGGTGGTGGAGAACACGCCCAGCGCAGACAGCTTCTCGGAAGGCCCGAGGCCCAGGAGGTCCGCCCCCTCCGTACTTCCCCCCTGGGGCTTGCCGCCTGCTAGGAGCAGGGTGAAGTCGGGCCTGTCCCTCTACAGGGTGGAATATCCAACAGCAGTCAGAAAATGATCAGGGGACGTTTTTTTTTTTTTTTTTGTTGTTTTTGAACATTTGGGGGTATTTGTGCGTATTTTTCATGTTTTGCCCAAAATCCCCTAGGGGGACAGGCCCGACCTAAGAGCAGGGAGAAGGGGCACCACCACCACCACCACCACCACCACCACCACCACCACCACCACCACCACCACCACCACCACCACCACCACCTTCACCACCACCACCACCACCACCACCACCACCACCACCACCACCACCACCACCACCACCACCACCACCACCACCACCACCACCACCACCACCACCACCGGCGCGTCGAGGCAGGGTGAGGGCCCTTGATGGCGGCGTGGTCCCCTGCCCTGCGCTGACAGGCTCGAGAGGCAGCTCCAGCCCCCAGCTCTCAGTGCGGCGTCGTGGACCTCCTCGCTGGAGGCTGCGCTGTCGACCTTACGAGCAGGGCGAGCGACCCGATGCGGCATCGGTTCTGGCCTGCCCGATCCGGCACCGATCCGATTCGATGCCGACATCCGGGCGATCCGATGCGGCCCGATGCCCGCATGGTGCTGCTGTGCGTCCTGCCGCGGCCGGGTCGGCTCGGTTCCGGCTCCGCGTCGATGCAGGCCGATCCGACGCACATCTCGATTCGACCCGATTCCCCGATTCGATGCCGGCTGATCCTCGGGGACCCCCGAACGGAACGGTGCGGTGACCGCCCCGTGCGGTGAGCCACCCCTCACCAACCACCCTTTACCCAAGCCGCAGGCCCTCATCTGCCCTCCCTTTTCAGTGGTGTGGGGGGGTCGGGGAACACTGCCAAAAACACGTATATGGAACCCGTACCCCCCCCAACCCGAACTTTGGGTCGTCGGGTTGCGTTGGGGTGGCCTGGCAGGCAGGCAGAGAGTCGGTGGCGGTGCGCGGTGGCCCGACCGCGCGGCGTTCGGGCCCGCGGCCGCCCTCCGGGGGCGTCGCGCGGGCGGCGGGGGCTCTGCAGCGCCCCAGCGCCGCGGCGGCGGCGGGGCGTGCGGTGGGGCCCCTCGGGGGCGTCCGAGGTCGCCGCGCGGCCTGTCACCGATGCGTCTTGTTCGGCAGCAGGTCGTGGGAGCCGCGGAGGGATCTGGCTGCAGGGAGCGCTGTCGGCATTCCACGCCGCGATGGCAGCAGCGGGGGCGGCCAACACATCTGCCGCAGCACCGGGCAGACTCATAACCATGACCTGTGGTTCGTTTCATTGGCAGTGTGGCCAGATAGTCGACCAGATCCTGGGAGATTCCTAGCAAAAAGTCATGGGAGCCCTGTGTGCCCTCGCAATCTCGTCTTCAGCGTGGATTGGCGTCGATGGGCACCGATTCCGCGTCTGGGAGTCGATGAGATGGTGCCGATCCGGCGTCGGAAACTGGAGCATATACATTACCAGTGGCGGGCTGTTCTTCAACCCCAGGACCTTTTTGGAGGAATCGGGGGCGACGTCGGGGCGGTGCGGTGTATGCCTTTTTCCCCGCTGTCCCGGGGGAACAAGGAACCGTGTATACACCAGGATCCCATATACACCAGGATCCGTTTGCCTGTGCGAGTTTTAGTGAGCGGCCGGAGAAAGCGTGGTGTATAGAGTTCGGTTCCTTACTTGTGTGCCCTCGCAATTCTGTCTTCAGCGTGGATTAGCGTCGATTGACGTCGATTCGAGTCTGGGAGTCGATGAGATAGCGCCGGTTTAGCGTCGGTTCGCGCCGATTTAGCGCGTCGATGAGCGTCGATGTCGCATCGACTAGCGTCGATTCGCAGGAGCCGACAAGATGGTATGGGAGACTCCCATGGGTTGCCGCCGAAGTTTTGGGGCCCCCCAAAGGGGCAGGCCCTCTCCAGAAGGCTCATGTGGCCTTCCGAGCCCTCTGCGAGTCTGCCGGAGCCGCCTCCTGAAGACGCGGAGGGCTGGCTCCTCGGCAGGGCGGAGGGCTTCTGAGAATCCCCGCCGCCTTCCGAGACGGCCGGCTCTCTCTCTCTCTCTCTCTCTCTCTCTCTATATATATATATATCGGGGCCCCCAAACGGGGTGGTGACCACACCGTGCGGTGAGTCGGTGGGAATTCGGGGTCACCGCACGGTTTTGGGACTCGGGTCGTTCTCCGAGGATGTCTCGGGCGACGGGCATCCGAGGTCCCAAAACCGTGCGTTGACAGACCGTGCGGTGAGGTCCTGGGGGATTTCGAGGTCACCCCACGGTCTGTCACTGTACCGTTTTCCACTTCCCCCTCCCCGGCGCGCCGCCGAGTTCCGATGCGATTTTCGGATCCGACTCCAGACCCGATTCCTTGATGTTTTCAGTTCGTCGTCCCCAGAAGTCCCGACCCTTTCTCCAGGGCCGCGCCGTTGGTTGACAGTCCCGATGCCCGGGGAGGGCTCCCGGAGGCCGAGCCGCTCGCCGTGATTCCTTCACGACGCTCGCACGTCTGGGTCTGGGACCCCCAAGACCCGAGGGCCGCCACGAGGTCGCGAGGCTGTTCTCAGCTCGCGGTTCGCGGTTCGCAGTTCCTCCTCTTCAGGTGCGGCGCGAGAGCGCGAAGTTGTTCGCGCCTCCCGCAGCGCGAGAGCGCGAGCATGGCTGCCCTTGAAGACCCTGCAAGCCGCGGCGCGGACCGCCCACGGCCTTGCCGCCGCCACACAGGACGAGTCGCCCGAGGCGGTGGAGAAGCGCCGGCTGACGGCCCAGGCGCCCGCCGCCAGCGCCGGGGGTTGCGAAAGGTGCCCTTGGCCCAAGGTGAGCGACGGAGAAAACCGAGGTTGTCTACACCGACATTGGCGCGTAAGCTGCCCGCGTCAGTTCGCGCGTAAGCGCCCTCGTCTCCCGCATGGCGTACCGCTCTGGCGGCCTGCGTAAGCTGCCACGTGAGGGTCGTTATGTCATCTTGCGTAGGGCCCGTGTCCTTTTGTCGCTCAGGTGCTTCTGGTTTTTCGCTGAATTTTGGGGGCCCTGGGGTCCTCTGAGCCTCGTGACGGGTGCTCTGGATGCCGCGGGGGCCTCCTTGGAAATCGTGCGGGCACGTAGGGACAGCGGCACTTCCCAGGCAACACCCGACGGAGCGGGGGGGAGCAGGGGCCGCCATGGATCGGGCGGAGGGCAACGCGGGGGAGGTGCATCGCGTGTTCCGTATTCGTCTTCGTCCTGTGAGATCGCGTTTTTGGAGTTTGTCGCCCTTGTTGGGCCTCCTGCAGGCTTCTCGTCGCCACGGCCAGATGGGTCTGGATGGACTCGGCGGCGAGCGAGGGGGGTGAAAAGGAGAATGCCTTCTCAGAAGGCGGCTGGTTTTCTCAGAAGCCCTCGCGCCTCCTCAGAAATTGTTCGTGTCTTCGCGGAAGGCTTAGAAAACTTCTCAGAAGGCCCGGGGACTTCGGACCTTTCTGGGAAGGCCCGCCCCTTCTCACTTCCCCCCTTCGCTCGCCGCCGATGGACACTGGGAGGGGTCTGGTGGACCGACTTTGAGCAGATTTGGCTCTCGGGGCGAGCATATTGAGCCGCAATCGCCCAGTGATCGCGGGCGAAGGGCCACGGCGGGGCAAGGAGCGTGGGGGATTCGAGTGCTGCAGGAGTGGCCCTGACGGGGCCCATGTGGTCCCCAAAAAGGTGCACGGAATGCGGACGTTTCTTCACCCCACGATTGCTCGTGAAGGAGATCGACTACAGAATTGATGGACCCACCCAAAAGCTGTTTTTTGTCATAATGTTCGAAGATCTACGAGCATGCAGCTTTTTTTTTTTTTGGTAGAGTCGACGAGCGTTGTTAACCTTGGGGTCGATGAATGTTGTATGCGATCTCCTACTCCAAGTCCTGCCTCCCCGTTTGCGAGCGCCCGAACGGAGCCAAGCGGGTCCTGAGGAAACCGGCCTCTGCAGACCTTCCACCATGTTCGGGCTCCGGGTTTTTGGACGCTTTCGTCGGCTCGCGGTGGTTTCACGCCTCGGGACGCCTTCGGTGGTTGCGCCTCGCCGATGGCGCTCCCAGGGCTGCTCGATTCGTCCCGAGTGGCCCCCGGAGGGCCGAATTCTGACCCGAAGTCCGGGGGGCAGCGTTGGGAGGGGGACGCACAGACCCCCCATCGCATGATCACCGCCGGCGTGGTCCAGATGGCCCGCCCCGCCCAGGAGTGTGCCGCTTCGCTCCCGGGGGGGGCCCTCCCGACGTTGCCCCGCAGCCGTGGAGCAGTCGGGCCTTCTGGAAGCGGGTCCTGCAGTCATTCCTTTGTCGTCGGGCATGCGGATCAAACTTCGAGCCTCGATATGGTCGGGTGTTTGTTTGCTGTGCGTATGCATGCATATCTACATCCATACAAACATCCATCCATAACATCCATACATCCGTACATCCAAACACGCGGGCATGCAGGCATACATACGTACAAACATACACACATCCACACATACATACACACATACATACGCACATCCAGACACTCATACACACATACGCACATACACATACACATACACGTACACACATACACGTACGCACATTCATACATACGTGCATACATGCATACACATGTACATCCATACACACAGACATACACACCTAAACACAGTCACACACATACACGTACACATACACGTACACATACACATTAACATACACATACACATACACACATACACATACACACATACACACATACATACATATATACACCCATACACCCGTACACGCATACCCACAAGCACGAATACAGTCGCACATGCATAACATATATGTATATGTATATAGATATATAGATATAAATCTACATGCACGCATACACACATGCATACACACATGCATACATACACATACATGCATACGTACATCCACTCATACCTACAGGCATACACATATACACACATACATCCACACATACGCCCATGCATACCCCCACACATCCATGCACATACATTAAACGCATGCCCGCACACACGCACTTCCATAGATTTATACACCCATACATCAAGATATACATACGTCCATACAAGCATACATACGCACGCACGCACGCACGTACGTACACGTGTACACACATACACACACAGCCATATACTACATACATAGATACATGCATGTATACATGCACACGAACATACACACATACATGCATACACGTAGACACCTACATATACACATACATCCATACACACATACACACATGCATACACTCATACACACATTCGTACATACATACACATACCCACACACATACACATTCACATACACATACACATACACCTACAGACATACACACAAGCACATACACACACATTCATCTATCCATACATCCATACATCCATCCATCCATACATCCATCCACCCATCCATCCATCCATCCATACATATATACAACCTTCTACACGTATAACTATACATGCATGCATGTATGTCTCTATGTATGTCTGTATATATATATATACACATGTATGCACATAGATCTGCCCCTCTGGTAGGCTCCGCGTGGCCAGGCTGGATCCGCCTCGAATTTCTGGCCCGATCGCACGCCAGGACGGACCTGGGGGGCGGTTTTTAACCTCCGAGCTCAGGCACCCTCGCGTCGTCAAGCACCTCGACGGAAGATTTTTCGCCGTTTTCGGGCTCGGGGTGCCCCCCACTGGCCCCCAGGACCGTCAAAAGACGACTCAGGATGGGAAGCCAGCCTCGGTGAAAGGGTCGGGACTTGTGTGGACCCCGCGTCCAACCAAAAAGCGGTGCGACGCATCTCTGGGGAGGGGATGGACCCTGATACCCGGGCGTCGGCACAGACCTGGGCCTCGGGGACCTCGCGGATCGAACATCCTCAGAAGGCGAAAACCCGCCCCCACCCCCAGTCCCGACGCCCATCCCCGAGCCCGCGATTCAGGGAGTCGGGATTGGGGGTGGGGGTGGGGGGGCGGTTTTTCGCCTTCTCGCATCCAGCTCGAGGACTGCCGCACTCGGATGGCACCGAGGGGTGCGGGCGCCTGGTCGGCGTGAGGCAGGAGGCGGAGCGACACAGAGTTGTGGGCGTGAGCGCCGTGGGTCGCGTAAAAGTGAGGCCGCCCCTTGGCCTGCCAGAAGCAGAAGGCAAGGGGCGGCCGCGCCCGGTCCTGTCCAGGCGCGCTCGTCTGGAACCGCTTGCTCTGTATCGGAGGAGGCGGAGGAGGCGGAGGAGGCGGAGGAGGCGGAGGAGGAGGAGGAGGAGGAGGAGGAGGAGGAGGAGGAGGAGGAGGAGGAGGGCGCCTTACTGTACCTTGCGGGCGCCTACGAGCTGTCAGGCTCGCTCTGTATCGAGCGAGGGCTTTCTCGGCTCGGGAGGCCTGCTGCGCCTTGCCGAGGGCGCTCGTCGAGGGCAGATATCTTGTTACGAGCACGGCCGCCAGAGCCCCCGACCCCCAGCACGAGCCCCAGTTCGGATTCTCGCTGCAGGTTCCATGCCGCTCTGATCGATACGACTCGATGCCGGTTCTGGCCGGCCCAATGTTGGTCCGATGTCGACTCTGGCCTGCCCAATTTGATGTCGACTCTGGCCGGCCTGCGATGCGGTGTGGCCTGATGCGTGCATGGCATTTGCACTCGCATCTTGGCTGGCGCGGCCGATCCGATTCGATTTCGGTTCCGTGCCGACGCAGCCCAGTCCGACGCGCATTCCGATCCGATCCGATTTCCAGATTCGGCGCTGTCTCGTCTTGCGCTGCCTACGGCCAGTCTGCTGGCTCACTCGGCTCGCTCTCGGCTGTCCCTCCCTCGGCGACGCTCGAGTCGCTAACACTGGCCTCAGCACAAGCTTTCGGATGGCCGCGCGGATTTCTTGAACTGGCGTTGGCCTTGGCGGTGTCTCCAGCGCCGCCCCCAGCGCGCTCCGCGCGCTGGTCCAGCGCCGAGAAGCTTCTACTGACTCGCAAGACTCAAAAGGTTCACGCCATTTCGCTGGCCCCCAGAAGAGGAGGGACGTCTTGGGGCTCACGAGTTTGAGGTGTGAACGGGAGGGGTAACTGAATTGGGCGAGGGGCCGAGTGAGGTAAGGCTTCTGGGCAGGGGGGGATGAGGAGGATGATGGTGAGGAGGAGGAGGAGGAGGAGGAGGAGGAGGAGGAGGAGGAGGAGGAGGAAGACGGTGACGAGGAGGATACGAAGGAAGGGGAGGAGGAAGAGGAGGAGGAGTAAGAGGAGGAGGATGAAGCTCTTTTGTTAGCAGCGAAGGGCGGACGCCGACGCGTGGGAAAAGTTCGCGGGCCGCGCCAGAATTAGGGCACACACGAAAGCCACAAGGGGGCCACGAGGAGGGTGGCCGAGAAGGAGGGGCGCGGGAGGGGTCTTACCAGCTCGACAAAGAAAAACAACGAGCAGAGCAGCCCCAAGACTTTTGTCTGTGCCGGCTCTGCTTCGTGGGAGGTTAGCCGCTGCACCTCGAAACCGATTATGATTGATATGTGAGTGATCATGAGCGCACAAAACAAATCAAACAGAGTGGTGCCAACGAGGCGCTGTAGAAACGTACGGTGGTCCAGAGACCTGGAGGGGCGGCCTCGGGTGCAGAACACCCTTCGCCCCGAGGAGTGCGCAGAGGCGGTCTCGGGCACCCGAGACGTGTGTGTATTGGAAGGCGTGCGGCCAGTCCGAGGAGGAGGAGGAGGAGGAGGAGGAGGAGGAGGAGGAGGAGGAAGTGGAGGAGGAGGGGGAGGAGGAGGAAGAGGAGACGAAGGAGGAGGAGGAGGAGGCCGACGCGAGGCAAACCACGTCGCGCGGGCCTCCGACCGTTTGTGCCCCTGTGCCGGCTGTGTGCTCCTCCGGACGCGAGGGCTCGCGGGCCCGGCGGCCGTGCAGGTCTGCGGCGCGCAGGGGCAGTTCTACTGCAGCTTCGACGGCGACTGCAAGGACGGGCGCCGCCGTGCTCGGGGGCCGCTGCTCGTGGGCGGGAAACATGACCGCATCCACGGCCTCGCGGATGCCCCGCGGGGAACGTGTCCATGGGATCGCGTATCCACGGGATTGCGCCCCGGGATCTGGACCGCAATCTGCCGTGGATGTGGACGCGTTCGCCGTTCCTCAGCCACGGTGCACGGGCCCCCTGCTCCTCATTTTTTCCCTCCTGGGCCCTCCGCCTGCCCCCCCTTGTGGGGGTCAGGGGAAACGCCAGCGATGGGGGGGGAATTGGGCTCAGGAGGGATGGGCTTCTTTTGCACCACCACCACCACCACCATAAGTTGGAGGGGGAGGGGGTCCTTCTCCTTCTCCTCCTCCTCCTCCTCCTCGTCCTCGTCCTCCTCGTCGTCCTCCTCCTCCTCCTCCTCCTCCTCGTCCTCCACCTCCTTCCCCCCAACTTGTGGTGGTGGTGGTGGTGGTGGTGGTGGAAAACAGGCCCATCAAGGAGGGATCGATGTTCCAGGTTTTCGGGCACTCTCGTCGGCTGTTGGCGGTCTTCAGGCCTCGGATATACCTTCTGGCGGCGGCGCCTCGCCGACGGGGCGTTTGGGGGTGCCCCGGACTCGTCCTGAACAGCCGTTCGAGAGCCGAGTTGTGACCCGAAAAACAATCGGAGGTTGATAGACCTCCTACCTTGCTTGACACGTCGACTAGTGAATTGGCCGTTTTCGGTTCGCGATAGGGCGTCGCGGCCGTCATTTTTGCGGGTCCAGGTCCGTCGGTTTCGGTTTGAGGCCGCTTTCACTGAGGGGTGGTTTGCTAAACGGAGGCTTGTCCACCGCCGAAGTTGGGACCCGAAAGCCAGGACCAGTCGACGCCGGGGGGGGTTGGATCAGGGGGTGGCGTCGACCCCCACTGGCCGCAATCGGGGGCCCGATAGCCCACCCCGCCCAGGAGCGTGCGGATTCGCTATCGGGGGCCCATCGCAGATCTGTCCGCGTCGATTCCCAGTCGATGTTTCCCGCCCTGAGCCGGTACCTCCCTGTCTTTTCCCTTCAGATTGGGGGCAGATGCAGCCACTGCTCGGGGCGTGGGGCGGAGGTAACGGGGGTCAGTGCTGCCTTTGTCAGGTAATCCGCTTTGATATCCTGTGGCTGACCTGGGCTTGGGAGTTGCAAGTCGCCGATCCCCGCTGTGCGGCTCGCGGGTTTTACCGACATGGCCCTGGCTGAACTTTGTCAGCGTTGACTGGACTATCGCCGTCATAGTCCAGAGGGGGTAGTAGTTTCCTAGGGTGTCCTTGCATCCTTCGGTTTTTTTTCCGCCGTGCACGGATCGAAAGGCGTCAGCTTGAGCGCCGAAGGGTCCTGCATCCTAATCACGCATCCTTGTTATAGGCGTTGTCTGTAAGTTTACTGCTACTCCTGGCAGGGTTAACATTCAGCATCGGCGAAGCATATCCGCGGTCGATAATTGTTTCTTACTCCAGCCAATTCTTTTTGAGTCTTGCTTTATGACGCTTCATCCAGATTAATTCTAAGCTTAATCAGGCCTACTTCGATTTATGGTCATTTGGTCGGTCCTACCAGCCCAGAAATCGTTCTCGGACAAACCTTCCAGTAGTTGCCTCCTAACCTCCCTCCCTCACCCGGGTCCTTCCCTCCCCAACTCCTCTCCCACCCTTCTTCGGGGTCCTTGCTCCTCCTCCCCCCTCCCTCCCCGAGGGAGGGGCGGGGGAGGAGGAGGGGGGGGAGCGACGTTTCTCGCACGCGTGTGCAAATCCCCCGCAGGGACAGGTGGTCTTCGCGCGCTCGCACGGGAACTCGGGAGGAGGGGCCCGCCAGATTGGCGCTGGCTGCTTCCATGCAGCTTTAACCCTCCAATCTTGCCCACCTCCTCCTCCTCAGGCATCCGACGTCATGCTTCTGTTCGCCGCGAAGCTCCCCCAGAGGTCAGGCCCTCTTCCAGGACCAACTTTTCCTCCCGATTGTTGTTCGGTCCTGGTGCCCGGGGAGGGCTCCCGAGGTCGCGATGCAAGGTCCCACTACCCCTCCCCCCTATCCCGATCAAGACTGTCTGCTTTTACACAGCAGCTCGCCAGAATGCCCTGACTGGTACTGTGTCTGTAATTTATCTGTACTGTCAACCTTGGCGCCCCAGCAGATATTGCTAGTCTCATTCATGTTCTGCGAGGTGAGTACCGGTCTCTGCCGACAGGATGCAAGCTTAATCAGCGTCGGAATCCTAAACAACATTCAATAGGGCCACTTCTGCGGTTTGCACTCCCCCCTCGTTCAGGATGCACTTCCTGGGAAGTTGTCAGTTCAGCATGGGCGCTGGCGTATCCGTGTTCGAAAACCTGCCGAATCCAGAATAATCGCGCACCGCTTGATATCCGGCGCGATCGGGCTGAATCCTGGGCCAAGTCTAGCCTGATCCAAGTCAGTTGCATCGTAATTGTACTTAGTCGTCCGTCGCCTCGTTCTTACGATGACCTCCCAGAATTTGCCTCGTGGCCCTCTGAGCGCCAGCCCCCCCCCCGTGAGCGCTTGGGCCAGCACCCCCGAGCGCCTGCGAGGACGACTGCGCCGTGTGTGGCTGGAAGAGCGCCCACGACCGGGCGTTCTCGACCTGCGTGGCGCCGGAGGGGTCGTCGCCGTGAGGGAGGTCGGGGGGAGGAGGGGGAGAGCCTGGAGGAGGAGGGAGGAGGAGGATGAAGGAGGAGGCCATGGGGAGGAGGGAGGAGGAGGCAGGAAGGGAGAGATGACGACCAGAGGCCGAGAAGGGTGAGGCGGAGGAGGAGGCGGAGGAGGAGCAGGAGGCGGAGGAGCAGGACGAGCAGGAGGAGGAGGAGGATGAGGAGGAGGAGGACGAGGAGGAGGAGGAGGCGGCGGAGGAGGAGGAGGCGGCGGAGGAGGAAGAAGAAGAGGAGGAGAAAGAGGAGGAGGAGAAGAAGGAGGAGGAGAGGAGGAGGAGGCGGAGGAGGAGGAGCAGGAGGAGGATGAGGAGGACCGGTGTATACCCAAGAGTCGTCAACGATGTTGGAATAACCCTGCCTCCAAGTTCTCTCTTCATAGGCTCCTACAATGGATCATTTCCACTGAGGGAACTGCCTCACTGGAAGACAACCGTTTGAAGACCCTTCCGCATGCCAACACATTGTTCTCGGGATTCCAACGCCACGGATCAACTTGAGTGTTGCGTCTTTGCGATCCGGCGTCGTGCCAGAACGCCATTCCTGGGACCCCAACACCGCGGATGAACATAACTTTTGTACCATCATAACCTAGACGACCACCCTGACCACCCTTCGGGTGATAAGGAGTTGTGTGGGGGGAGAGGGGGGAACCAACATCTGACTCAATCGATCTCACCATCGATCTCACTCAACGGGACACCACGGGACACCACGGGACACCACGGGACACCACGGGACACTTGTCGATCTCACTATCGATTTCACTATCGATCTCACTCAACGGGACACCACGGGACACCACGGGCCACCACGGGACACCTGGGACACCATAGGACACCACGGGACACCACTGGACAAGGAGGGACACCTCGGGACACCACATCGGTCTCACTATCGATCCCACTATAGATCTCACTCAACGGGACACCACGGGACACCGCGGGACACCACGGGACACCTCTCGATCTCACTATCGATTTCACTTTTCGGACACCACGACGGGACACCACGGGACACCTCGGGGCACCACGTCGATCTCAGTATCGACCTCACTATCGATTTCACTAACGATCTCACTCAGCGGGACACCACGGGACACCACGGGACACCGAAGGGACGGGCGGGCGGAGGAGAATCATTTGTTTTGATTGCGCCCGAGTAACGGCGGACACCACGGACACCATGGGACACCACGGGACACCGCGGGACACCGCGAGCCACCGCAGGACGGGCGGGCGGAGGAGAATCATTTGTCTTGACTTCGCCCTAGCAGCGGCGGACACCACGGGACACCACGAGCGCGTTTCTTTACTTTCGGCGATGACGGGCGTCATGGGGGGGTGGGGCGGGGGGGGGTATGACGTAACGCCCCCCGCCGTGTGGTTTCGGCACCGCAGCCGCACCCGCGCGCGCGACGCGACGAGAGCCGAGCGACGAGCGACGACGACGACGACGACCGCGACGACGACGATCACGACGACGACGACGCGTGCAGCATGTAGGTGGCGATATGCCCCACTGCGCCTGTGTACACCACAACACTCGCGTGCACCACAGCGCGCGTGTATGCCACAGCGCCTGCGTACACCGCAACAACCGTGTGCAACGCAGCCCCTGTGTACACCACAATGCTTGCGTACACTACAGCGCCGGCGTACAATTGCACACTGCAGCTACCATGTGCAACGCAGCGCTTGTGTACACCACAGTGCTTGCGTGTACCGCAGAGCCTGTGCACGCCACAGCGCGCGTCTACACCACAGCATCCGCGTGCAACGCAGCGCTGGTGTACACCACAATGCCTGCGTGCATAGGACAGGTCGACGGAGCATGTACGTGAGGATCTGCTGCGGACAACTAGACGCCACGCCAGGAAATTGCTGAGAATCGAATGCGACGTTCTTCCCTCCTCCCTCCTCCTCCTCCTCCACCTCCTCCTCCTCCTCCTCCTGGTCCTTCTCTTTACCTCCTGTCGTGCGGGTTGGCGCTACAGCGCACGTGCGCATCTCAGCGCGCACCGCAGAATGGTCTATTGAATCGGGCCACTTGCTTCTTGGACGGCCAATTTAGCTGGAACCTCCTGGACGCAAAGGGAGGAATTAGGTTGATGCGGGCGGATTCGGGAGGACACGTTGATTCCAACGGCGTTCCGATGTCCATAAGGATTATGTTATATTGTTTTCAGTGAAGCCCACAAACGCTCAATTTTGTCACAAGAATTCGTTCTCACATTCTATATGCAACAATGGTGCTGTGTTGCACACGGTTGCTGTGGTGTTCACAGGCGCCGTGGTGTACACAGGCACTGTAATGCATGCAGGCATGGTGGTGTATACTGGTGCTGTGTTGCACACGGCTGATGGAGTGAACGCAAACGCTGTGGTGTGCACAAGAGCTGTTGTGCCCGCAAGCACGGTGGCACAAACCGACGCTGTGTTGCACGCGGTTGCTGTGGTGTACATAGGCGGTGGCGTACACAGGCGCTGTGGTGCACGCAAGCTCTGTGGTGTACAGGCGTTGTGGTGCAACTCGCCACCGACATGCTGGCGCTACCCGTCCTCCGCCATTCCGAGGCATTCCCAAACGCCGCCGGCGCGAAACGTGACGTCATCGACCCCTTCCATCCCCCCCCTTGATGATTGCCGTCGTCGGCCCGAAATTCAAAACAGGGTTCAGCCGCGTCCGCGCGCGCGACGATTATGAGCGACGAGCGACAAGCCACGAGCGACGACGACGACGACGACGACGGCGGACCAGACTCCTATGCGGATTCCTATGCGGACACCTGCGCGGATCCCAATGCGCACAGCGGCAGCGCTCGGAACGCACTTAGGGGCAGTGCCCGGAGCGCACTGGATGGGGGGAGCGTTGCGTCAGAAGTGGGGGGGGGGGGGCCAGGGCCGGGGCCATGACGCCCATCATGACCCAAGCAATAAAGAAACGGGATACCGTTGGACACCGCGAGCTACATCCAGACGGGCGGGCGGAGGATAATCATTTGTCTTGACCTCGCCCAGGAAGCAAGTGGTTCATTCCTGTCGCGCGCCCACGCAGCTTCGCCTCGCCCGCACGCACGGCACGAACGAAACGAAACGATTTCCTGGTTGGGGGTTTCCATCCCACTGCGATCTCACTCCCCAACCTCCGATCTTGAATTTTGAATCCATCCAGAACACCGTTTCTCGTACGCTGATCATGGGAATGCGTGAGACTTTTGCGCATTTAAGAACGAATGTGCGCGGCGCTAAGGCGAGAGCACCATTTTGAGAAGGAGCCGCCCTCAATCCGTGAACCTCCTTCAAATTGAAAACGTATGTGTGCGGCGTTAAAGTGAGAGCCGCATTTTGAAAAACCACTCGCCGTCAATCCGTCAAGCTCCTGCAATGTTTAAACGGATTTGCGCGTCGCTAAGGCGAGAGCCACATGTTGAACATCACCCGCCCTCTATTTGCCAAACTGTTGCCAGTTTCAAGCTTCAGGGTTTCAGGCGAAGCGCCTGGCACGCCTTATACATTTGCCTCGGGGGTGCGACAGGGAAAAATTATCTACAAGGAAAAGGAATGGATAAGGAGGAAGAAAAAAAGAGGAAGGATGAGGGCGGGTGGGGGGAGGTTAGGAGGAGCTCGCCCCGTCTCAGCAGGAGGAGGAGGAGGAGGAGGAGGAGGAGGAGGAGGAGGAGGAGGAGGAGGAGGAAAAGGAGGGGGAGGAGGAGGAGGAGGAGCAGGAGGAGGAGGAGGAGGAGCAGGAGCAGGAGCAGGAGCAGGAGCAGGAGCAGAAGGGAGAGACGGAGGCTTGGGACCTGGTGCGTAGCAGAGAAGCCCGTGGTTGTGCTGGGAGGAGACTTGAGATCGCCGTGTCAGCAAGGGACCCTGAGCCATGAGACCCGGGCGCCGCATTTGTTTGGGGCGACCAAAAGGTTGCAGAACTACGCCCGGCATAGGCGTATCGGGCGGGCCAGGTCCGCGGCCAGAAGGCCAGAGGATGTCAAGGGTGCGCCCCCAGGAGATGGCAAGGCTGGTTGGTTCAAGGTGTTTGGAGCAGGTCACGTAGATAGAGATGGAGATGGGCACCATCGAGAATAAACCGCCGAATCCTAATCACACACTGAAGACGCTTCCTGAATTGGGCCCCCGGGTTTCAGTAGGGATCAACATTCTGGGTGGCTTGGCTGGATCCATCTGCAGAACAGCTCCCCTGTCCCCACTGTTCTGGGCCTCTCAACGTGGGCCCGCTTTCCAACGGGTCACGGGGTACTTCTATGGCATGCCATGCCAAAAGTCCGCTGCGTGCTGCCGGTCTCGGCTTCGCCGCTGGGCGCGCTCTTCTATCTATTCGAGGCACGGCCGCCCCCGGCGTCGGGGGCGCCAGCTGCCTAAACGGCCGACTTCTGGCCCCCCCCCTTACGTGCTCGTTTCGGGGGCCTTCCTGGGGCCCACCTGACGGATCTGTTCGACTCCAGTTCGACCGCAACTCGACTCAAGCTCGACTCAAGTTCGATTCGGTTTCGACCCAGGCTCGATTCAAGGTCGACTCAAATCGACCGACGTTCGACGCAGCTTCGACGCACGAGTGGAGCGAGTGTCTCCAGGAGGGTCCCCAGAATGATCGGGGGTGGATAGACCTCCTACCCTGACGCGTCGATTAAGGAATTGGCTGTTTTCGGTTCGCGAGATGGCGTCGCGGCCGTCATTTGCGGGTCCAGGTCCGTCGGTTTCGGTCCCAGGCCGTTTTCACTAAGGGGAGGTTTACTAAAGGGAGGTTTGTCCACCGCCGAAATGAGCATCCCACCTTCCCTTCCCCCCCCCGCCGTCCGCCCCGAGAGGGGGTCCGAGGCGGGGACTTAGCCACTACCGCCTCCTGGGAGATGGATCCTCGGGGGCCTCGGCGGGCTGTGGATGTGGATGCGTTCGGGCCGGGGGGAGGCCAAAGGAGTCCATGTTCACCGCCATCCCCCGGGCGGTGGTCATGGATCAATCGCCGCCTCTCCTGCGCCCGCTTCTCCCCTCCCGCCTGGCGTCAGCACGGTTCGCGTGTCTTCGGGTGTTGTTTGCGGTCTTCGCGGTGCTGTGTGTGTGTGTGTGTGTGTGTGTGTGTGTGTGTGTGTGTGTGTGTGTGTGTGTGTGTGGGGGTTTTGATGCTCTTTTTGTTGCGTCTGCCGCTCGGTTCTGCGACCGAGCCAAACTGCCTTAGCCCCCGGCTGCGCGCTCATGCTTCGGGCGTCCTCGGAGACGCGCGCACAACTTGCCACTTGCCTCCTCCCCTCGCTCGACGCTCCAGTGAACAACTAAGTAAGATGAACTTTCAGGAGCCTGCGCGGGTTTCTCGTGTCTGCTCTAGACTTCCAGACCCCCCTGGCGGCGCTTCAGGCGCCGCCCCTGGCGCGCCCCGCGCGCCAGGGAGAGGGAGGAAGTAGTGCTGCCCCTGCGCGGATCCAAGAAATCCGCGCAGGAGGAGAAGAGGAGGAGGAGGAGGAGGAGGAGGAGGAGGAGGAGGAGGAGGAGGAGGGGGAGGAGGGGGAGAGGAGGCAGGTCGAGCGCCGATCCAAGAAATCCGCGCGGACCTTTGAACTTCCTGCCTGCGTAGAGTCTCTGCTCTGCACCCGGCGCCCTCGCAGGCTTTCGGCGCTCGTCCTCGGGCGCCCCCCTCCGCGCCCCCCCCCTCCGCCAGCCCGCGCCCCCTCTTGTCTGCTTGTCCTGCCCTGCCTGCTCGTGGCCCGTCCGCCCCTCCGATGGCGTGAGGGCGCGTTCCTGGCCCGCTTCGTGCTCGAGCCTCGCGGGATTTCGGCGCTTTTTCCCCTGGGCGAGGCCCCCCTCGCTGCGGCCCCCTCGGGGCTCCGCGCCGGCTCTTCCTCCGCTCCCTGGCCTGCCTGCTCGTGGCCCGTCCGTCGATGGCGTGAGTCGGTATCGTTTAATCGATCCCCATCCCCATCTCCATCCCCTTCGAGACCCCCACCAAATTACCACCCCAGTTGGGGATACACTCCTCGAAAGCCGAAGAGAGCGGCCTATATCCCCATCTGGGGGGGTAAATCGGCCAGCGGGGCCCAGGCCACGCCGCTGGGGATGGGGATCGGTCAAACGAGACTCAGTGAGGGCGCGTTCCTGGCCCGAGCCCGGACCGAGCCTCGAGCATTCGGCGCTCTTCCTGCGGGCGAGGCCCGCCCTGCGCGGCCCGCCCCCTGCGGCCGGCGCCGGCTCGTCCTCCACTGCTCCCTGCCCTGTCCGCCGCCGGGCCGGGCCAGCCCGCTGGCGTGGAGCACGCCCGTCGCCAGTTCGGTCGGGCAGCGCTCGCTTGCAGCAAGCGAGCGCTGTTGGAGCCGGGGGTGCATCGCACTTGCGGCCATCGCAGGTAGCTTTGCTGTTTTCAGCATCGGCACCGCACCCCTGAATACCACACCCCTTTCCGACCTCTAAGTGCTGGACATCGCCCCCCCCTTGCTGCCGAGTGGGAGATCGACTACACGATTAGTTTATCCCAGAGTTCGAATGTTCATTGCGTCTGCGACAAGCTACGCAGAATGTTCGTAGAGATCTAATTTCAAACGTTGTTCTTAGTTTTTCGTAGATTCGGCGGAGTACTCAATATTGGGGTCAATCGATTCTGTAGCTGATCTCGCACTCAATGCTCACCAGCGGCGGACGGATACATACCCACGCTCTCCCGGTCTGGACTTCGGGGTGCGGTCCCGCGGATACGCGGTCGCACGGATAGGTTCCGCGCGGGGCATCAGGGAACAAATCAGCCCGCGTATATGCGGGGTCGCGGCCCATGCTCCCGGCCCGCGAGGCCGCGGATACGGACTTGCTTTCAGCCCACGACCTGGTCTGCCTTCTGTCCCTCATCTTCCTCGGGCAGGGCCAGTTGCTTTCGGAGAATAATCAAAAAGCATGATCATCAACTTTTGGAGGTCCGTGCTGCTTTCTCGGGTCGGCGCTGGGCCCCCCGGCGGACTTCTCTGTTTTTCTCGGATCTGACTCCGCATCGGACGCTGCCCCTGGCGCGCTCCACGCGTCAGGAGGGGGAGCCCAACGCCGCTCCGAAAAGTCCGCGCGGAGTTCCGAAAGTTTTCGGTCTATGCTCGGCGGCGAGCCGGGGGGGACGTCGGACGGAGCAGGCCTTCTCAGTTGGCTTCTGGGAAGGCCCGCTGCCTTCCGAGACTGCCTTCTCCTTCTCGTTTCCCCCCTTTGGCCCGCCGCCGATGCAGAGTTGTTTTCCGTCTCCATGCCTGCCAGAGGAAGCGGGATACCCCGCGCTCTTCTGCGGGCGTGCCCCCCCTCCGCACGGGCGCCCTCCCATCTTGGGGGAAGGGAGAAAGCAGCACCGCCGCCACCCCTGGCTGGGGAGGGGGGATGTCTCGAGCGGGGAGGGGGTCAGAGGAGGTGGAGGTACCCATACTCCTACCCTCGCCTGGTTTTCACCTTTTGGGCCCTCGTCGGCACCGCTGTATTCGCCTCGAAATTCTGGTCAGAAGGTACCCTGGAGACGTCCAGGGAGTAGCGGTATTGGTACTCTTCAGTTTCTCCAGAGGGACCACACCACCAGTAGGAACCCCAGATCCCCGACATCATGACATTTCCACACCGTCGACGCCCAGAGATCTCGACCCACTCCCTGGGGCCCAGCAAGGGCCCAGCGAGGGCCCCCCGAGGCCGAACACCGCAACAGTCCGTACGTTTTCACGACGCGAGCATGCCTGTCTCCTCGCGCTCGTGGTGGTGGCGGTGATGGGTGTCGGAGGATCGCTCCGCATCGCCGCTGCATCGGTCATGCGGCTCGATGCGGAGCCCGACTTTCTCCACGCCGTCGTCGCCGATGCATCGCCGACGTCAGCGACGTATCGTCGATGCATCGGCGATGCATTTGTGGTGGGCTCGATCCTCAGACCCCGTCTTCAGGGAGGAACAACTCCCCGACCCCGATAATTGGCGTTGACTATAGCCGGCCCTCGGCGTCTGCTACACAGCCCTGTCCCCGTCGATTCCTTCCTTGGGTGCGTTTACTGAACGGCTTCGCCTGTCGGGATGCTTATTCTGAGGGTAGGTTTTCTGCTCTCTAGCCTACGAGTCAAATCTTAGGAGGTCTTTCGTCTTGCTTCCCCTCCTGTTTCTCTCGGCGGGTAATGACCTCCGCCCCTCCTCCTGCTCCTCCTCCTTCTCCTCCTCCACTTCCTCTCCCCCTCCTCCTCCGCCTCCTGCTCCTCCTCGTCCTCCTGCTCCTCGTTAAGAGGCCTCCGGTGGTGGCGGTACCGCTTGTCCTTGCTTCTGCCCCTCCCCCCCCGCCATCCCGGGGCTCCCCGCCCACAGCGGGGGGGGCGGCAGGTGCCTTCGGCGACGGCGTGCCACGCCGACCAGGAGCGGGTCCACTGCCGCGCAGGGGGGGGGGGGAGGAGGAGGAGGAGGAGGGGGAGGAGGAGGAGGAGGAGGAGGAGGAGGAGGAGGAGGAGGAGGAGGAGGAGGAGGAGGAGGAGGAGGAGAAAGAATTGGAGGAGGAATTGGAGGAGGAGGAGGATGAGTGGCGCGGCTAAGCTGCGCGCTGGTCTGGGGTTGGGGTGTTGCGCCAACTCCCGACCAAAGTACTCTGGCCGCGGCAGAGACCCGTCGGCGCATGGCCTCGTCCCCAGAAGAAATTAATGAAACGACAATGATTGAATTTCGAACGCTCCAGTTGACAAAACTCATCTTGCGCAGACCACTGCAACGATCTCGTGCCAAAATGGCAAGGCGAGCTCCCTCCAGGACCGTCCGCAGGTGAAGGTAGGACCCCAGAGAAGGGGAGAGCCACTCCGCAGAGACCCGCAACGCACTGGGCAGACTCACACGGATCACGAGCGACTCTCTCTTCCGACGGGGGCGAGCTCCCTCCAGGACCGCCCACGGGCGGAGGTGGGCTCCTAGGAGAGGGAGAAGCCACCACGCAGAGACCCGCTAACGATCCGCTGAGCTCGCGGCGCCAGCGACAGGCTCAAGAGTCTTCTGACCCTCGGTCTCGAAGTGCCCTGCGGGACGCTGCCTCGTGACAACCTCTCCACGGCGCTCACGGAAAAAGGCTGAGCACCGTGATCTCCAGCCTTGTCGACCATAGCCACGATCAGGCAACGGAGTTGCGAGTCAAACATTTTCTCTGCACGGAAGACGCACTAGCATCTGAGACCGAACCGACCCAGGAACAAATTGTGAAGATGCGCGCTGATGATGGCCTGCTGCACCTCAGAGCCCCTCGTGGCAGGACAGAGCGCCGCAGCACCACACATACACGAGTCGGGCGCAAGAGTCTTGTGGCTCTTTAACCTTGGGCAAATACTTTCAGTCGCGAGCCGCCTTCCTAGACACAACAATTGGATCCTCGACGCGCAGACTGAGTCGGTCAATCACCGCGGCCTCCAGCAACCTGCTGCGCTGAGTGCTGTTCACCCCCAGCTTCCAAGCAAGGTCCGCCGTCGCCTCCGTCGTAGAAGTAACTGCCACCTTCTTCGACGCCTGGTTGGGCTGATCACCTGCCCGCGCTGGCTTCTCGCCAATCTTGCCGAGCATCGCTTCCCAGTGCAGCAGCATTCTGTCAAACAAGGGGCACGCGTGCCAAGGATCATACAATGACGATGTGGGTCCATGGGAGATGGAGAAAACCAAGGATCGCGAGGGAGGCAGTCCTTGGCAGGCGCCGGGAAGCGTGCCGCAATTGCTGCGACACGTTGGCAAGGGACATATTCGAAGACGGGAAGGGGCGGCTAGAAGCATGTCAGTTTGGGTATGGAGGAAGGTCGCTTGTCCTCTGTCTCGTCCTCCTTCTCCCCCTCCTCACCTCCACTTTCTCCTGTCCCGCCTCTCTTCCTCCTCCTGGTTCTCGACCTCCTCCTTGTCCTCCCCCTCTCTCCACCTTCTGGGGCGGCGCGGCGCGTGGCGGCGGAGTCGCCCTCGCCGTCGGCATGCGGCCGGGCACGCTGCGTCCTCGTCCTCCTCCTTCTCGTCCTCCTCCTCCCCCTCCACCTCCGCCTCCTCCCCCTCCCCCTCCGCTTCCTCCTCCGCCTCGCCGTCCTCGCCTCCGACCCGAGGCTGGCCCAGGCAACTCATCCTCGCCTCGGGCCCGAGGCTCGCTCGCCGAGCGGCGGGCGGCGGCGAGCTTCCCGGCCGCCTGGCCTGTCCGCCGGGGTCGCCTCGGAAGGGTCCCAGAGGCCCAAGACGGTCCAAGAGGCTCCAAAGAGGCCTCCAAGACAGCCCAAGAGGCCTTCAAGAGGTCGTCTAGGAGGGCCCGAAGAGGCCAAAATCATTGATTTTCTTTGGGTTTGGGAAGGATTTGGTCATTTGCGCCTTTTCGGCTTTCCGACGGTCCAAGGGGGCCCAAGAGGCCCCCAAGATCGCCCCAAAATTGCCCAAGAGGCCCCCAAGATGGCCCCATGACGGCCCAAGAGGCCTCCAAGACGGTCCCAAGAGGGCCTCAACACGGGCCAAGAGGCCTCCAAGATGGCTAAGATTGCCTCCGAAACGGCCAAGATCGCCCACGGTCGGTCGGAATAAGGGAAAGGGGGCGCAGGGGGGGAGCGGAGGAAGGGCCCACGGTCGGTCGGAATAAGGGGAGGTGGGCGCAGGGGGGGAGGGGGGGGGGGGGGGCACGGTTGGTCGGAATAAGGGGAGGGGGCGCAGGGGGGGGAGCGGGGGGGGGGGGGGCACGGTCGGTCGGAATAAGGGGAAGGGGGCGCAGGGGGGGAACGGGGGGTGGGCCCATGGTCGGTCGGAATAAGGGGAGGGGGGCGCAGGAGAGGAGGGGGGGGGGAGGGCCCACGGTTCGGTCGAATAAGGGGAGGGGCGCAAGGGGGGGAACGGGGGGGTGGCCCGCGGTCGGTCGGAATCAGAGGAGGGGGGCGCAGGGGAGGAGCGGGGGGGGTGGCCCACGGTCGGTCGGAATAAGGGGAGGGGGGCGCAAGGGAGGAGCGGGGGGGGGGGCCCACGGTCGGTCGGAATCAGGGGAGGGGGGCGCAGGGGAGGAGCGGGGGGGGGGGGGCCACGGTCGTCGGAATAAGGGGAGGGGGGCGCAGGGGAGGAGCGGGGGGGGTGGCCCACGGTCGGTCGGAATAAGGGGACGGGGGCGCAGGGGGGGAGCGGTGGGGGGGCCACGGTCGGTCAGAATAAGGGGAGAGGGGCGCAGAAGAGGAGCGGGGGGAGTGGCCCACGGTCGGGCGGAAGAAGGGGACGGGGGCGCAAGGGGGGAGCGGGGGGGGGCCCACGGTCGGTCGGAATAAGCGGAGGGGGGCGCAAGGGGGGAGCGGAGGGGGTGGCCCACGGTCGGTCGGAATAAGGGGAGGGGGGCGCAGGGAAGGAGCGGGGGGGGTGGCCCACGGTCGGTCGGAATAATGGGAAGGGGGCGCAGGGGAGAAGCGGGGGGGGTGGCCCACGGACGGTCGGAATAAGGGGAGGGGGGCGCAGGGGGGGAGGGGGAGGGGCCAGCACGACCACCAGCACGACCGCCAGCACCTCCACCAGAACGGCCAGAAACACGACCGCGAGCACGACCGCCAGCACGACCACCAACACGACCACCAGCACCTCCAGCACGGCCAGCCACCAGCACGACCACCAGCAGAACCACCAGCACGACCACCAGCACGACCACCAGCACCTCCACCAGAACGGCCACCAACACGACCGCCAGCACGACCACCAGCACAAGCACCGGCACGCCCAGCCACCAGCACGACCACCAGCACAACCACCAGCACGACCACCAGCACGATCACCAGCACGACCACCAGCACCTCCACCAGAACGGCCACCAACACGACCGCCAGCACGACCACCAGCACAAGCACCAGCACGACCACCAGCACGACCACCAGCACGACCACCAGCACGACCAGCCACCAGCACCTCCAGCACGGCCAGCCACCAGCACGACCAAGCACGACCACCAACACGACCACCAGCACCTCCAGCACGGCCAGCCACCAGCACGACCACCAGCACAACCACCAGCACGACCACCAGCACGACCACCAGCACGATCACCAGCACCTCCACCAGAACGGCCACCAACACGACCGCCAGCACGATCACCAGCACAACCACCAACGCGACCAGCCACCAGCACGACCACCAGCACAACCGCCAGCACGACCACCAGCACGACCACCAGCCCAGCACGACCACCAGCACGAACACCAGCACGACCAGCCAGCAGCACGACCACCAGCTCGACCACCAGCATTTTTCAGCACGACCACCAGCACAAGTACCAGCACGACCACCAGCACGACTGCCAGCACCTCCACCAGAACGGCCAGCAGCACGACCACCAGCACGACCACCAGCACGTCCACCAACACGACCACCAGCACGGCCGCCAGCACAACCACCAGCACGACCGCATTATGGGCACACGGTCGGTCGAAATAAAGCAGTGCGAGATCACACCGGTAGGTATGATGATAACGAACTCTCTGATACGCAAGAGGAAGGCTTGCGCCACTGAGCCACTTCGTAGCGACTGAAACTTTGCTTACATATAGTTCGCCCGTGCGGTGGTAGGTGCATGTACAAGTGCTGTATGGCTGAACGTCTACATCTAGGGCATTTTCCAATTGCTTAACACTCTCACGTAGCCAGGTGCTCACTCGCGCAACGTTTGGCGGTGAACAAACGACGATGCCGATGATGATTATGTTGCTGCTGATGATGGTGCTCGACGATGGTGTCGGTGTGCATGATGATGATGTTGCTGCTGCTGCTGATGATGATGACGATGCTGATGACACCGACGACGACGATGATGACGACGATGATGATGATGCTGATGATGATGATCATGATGGCTGTTGCGGCGCCGACTGCGACGGTGGCGGCGACGGCCACTGTGACGACGACGATGCTGCTGCTGATGATGATGATAATGACGATGATGATGATGATGATGATGATGATGATGATGATGATGATGATGATGACAGCGACGACGACGATGATGCTGATGCTGGTGATGATGATAATGGCTGTTGCGGCCCCGACTGCGACGGCGGCGGCGACGGCGATTGTGACGACAACATCGACGACGATGCTGCTACTGCTGATGATGCTGCTGCTGATGCCGATGCTGATTCCGATGCCGATTCCGATGACAATGACGATGCTGATGTTGATGATATGAGGATGATGATGATGATGATGATGATGATGATGATGATGGTGACGATGACGACGACGATGCTGATGCTGATGAAGATGATCACGATGATGATGATGACGGTGATGATGATGATGATGCTGATGATGATGATGATGCTGCTCATGATGATGATAACGATTGCGGTCGCGACGGCGCCTTTGATTGCGACGACGACGACGGAATTGCTGCTGCTGATGATGATGATGATGACGATGATGATGACGATGTTGATGGTGATGATGATGATGAGGATGGTGATGCTGCTGCTGATGGTGGTGGTGGTGATGATGATGATCCTGCTGCTGCTGATGATGATGCTGCTGATGTTGATGATGATGATGATGATGATGGCGATGATGTGATGGTGCGAATGTGCGTAATGATGATGACGATGATGATGATGGTGATGATGCTGCTGATGATGGACGATGATGGTGGTGATGATGATGGTGGTGGTGATGACGACAATGATGATGATGCTGATGATGCTGATGATGATGGTGCTGATGATGATGATGCTGATGATGATGATGATGATGATGATGATGATGATGATGATGATGGCTGGAACATAGAAGAAGAGTACACGAAGTGGGGGAGAGGAGGCCGCTGCACGAGAGTGCACAGAGGAGAAACTAACACGTTGGTTCTGGGGAACACGAACCCACATCGGATGTGTGAAGAGGACGGCTACGAATGCCGCGCCCGCGCGTCGGCATGGATGGTTTTCTGGCACCCTTCGGCCGCTGCGGGGCCCTTTCCTGGTCCCTTGGCCGTCTAGAGACGATGGATGAAGTGCCGCCTGTGGAGAGAGGCGGCGGCTCGCAGAGGGGCGGCGGCGCGAAGCGGGTGGCCTTCTGAGAGGCGGGGAACTTCCTCGGAAGGCAGGCGCCCTCGTAGAAGGGCCTGGAGGCCTCTCAGAAGCTGTCCACGTCCTAACGCGCGAGGCGCCGAACCTCTGTCATATCGTAGCCATGAGTCGTATTGCAAAAAAGTTTATGGCCTCTCGGAAGCTGCCGAGGAGGCTTCTTGCGAAGGCCCCCCTAGGCTTGGCTTATGAAGAGCTCGCTGCCTTCTCAGGAGGTCCCCCTTCGCGCCGGCCCCCCCTCGTGCGCGCACCGCCAGGGAGGGGGGGCTCAGACATTCTCCGATCTGGTTTTGTGTTCTTCGGCCACCCGAGGTCCCGATCCCTTCACGGGGGTAGTTGTTCGTCTGGGGTTCATGTTTTATGTTCCTTGGGCCCGGGAATGAAGTCAAAGAAGAACGCCCGGATGGACGCAAAGCGCATCCTGGGATGTCTGGGAAGGGCAGCAACACACGGGGGGTCAGATCGGTGCGCGTGGATCAGGCCTAGAAAGCGGTTGCCGTGACAGTTTTTCTCGTCCAGGTCCCAGAGGCCGAAATGACGGGTCCGATTCCTATCCCGATGACGGGCCCCAGAAGCTGAAATTAGAGAATAACGCCAGGGGCGTCGGACTCTTTCATGTGGTGCGCCGATAAAGCCCTATGCGCCGCCATGCTGGTCTCGGGCAGGCTGTGCTGCTCAGCAGAAGGGGAAGAGGGGGCGAAGTAGGCAGACGACGACGAACGCGCAGGCGGGAGGCCAGGGCCGGCGGGGAGGTAGGGCAGGTGGAAGAGGGGCCGAGCGGAGACAGCACGACGAGGAGGAGAGGAGAAGCAACCGCAAGCACCAGGCCAGGAGCCGGGAGAGAGGAGCCACCCGCGACGAGGTGCGTAGCGGTGGAGTGGGCGGTGGGCGTTGGGAGGGTGGTCGTTTGCAGTCGTCGGCAGGGCCGTCGGGGTCGTCGGGGAGCGGCGCGGAGAGACCAACCGAGTGCGGCTTGGTGGGGAGAGCCCCGTGGGGATCGCCCACCGCCCCGCCAGGGAAGAAAAACGCTGGCATGGGGGGAGGGGTCGTCGCTACCGGGTGCCCACGCCGCGAGAACGTCACGGGACGCCGGGGGCCTGGGTTCGGGTCTGGCCGGATCGGCCGGGGCGGGTGCCCCCCCCCCCCGCTGGGCAGCGGCGCGCGAGCGAGGTCTACTGCCCGACGGACGAGCTCTGCAAGGTCCCAGGCCGCCCAAACGGGGTCCGAGCAGGTGGGGCTGCATGGTCGCGCCACGTTGCTGATGCATCGGCGATGCTCTGGAGGGTGGAAGTGGGCGCGGCAGTGATGGTCACCAGAGCCGGCAGCAGTGACTCGCTGTCAGGGTCGCCGCGGACATTGCCCACTTGACTCATGAGGGCGTTTGCCCAACTGGGGCCGCTGTCGGTTTTGTACGATTCGCTGTTGGGTACCGTGCCCATTTTTCCATACTGTTGAAGGGCGTCCAACATGTGTCGGGACCTGGAGCTGGAGTTGTTCCATCCCAGCGTCGCCGTTGCATCGCCGATGCGTCGGTCATGTGGTGCGTTCATGATATTGCCGGCCTCCCTTTGGGCGGCCTCCGAAGGTGGGGGGCTGCTCCGACTGCCCTGGCAGACCCCGCGTGGACTTCTCCCAGCACACGTGCCTGGCGACCCTCGGACCTTCGTTGTGCTGCATCATCGGGGGACTTTGTCTGTCCTGCAGTAATCGGCATGAACATGCGTCCTGAAGGAAGTTGGTCATGGAACGTTTTCCTTCTTCTCGGCCTCCCATTGCCGTTCCCACCCCCGGTGGCCAGGATGAAAAAGTCGTCCCCGGGAATGCTCCCGTTTTTACCACTTCCCGTCCCTCGTGTGAAACTCGTAGTCATGCTGCATATTCGGGGGGCCGTGTTGTGTGTCGTGCAATAAATTGCGGTCTTCCCTTTTTTGTATCCGACGTGGGTTCGACGCAGAGTCGACGCGGATTTCGACGCGAGTCCCGATGCATTGGGGCAGACTGTCGAAGGGCATCGGTGTATGCACCAGGTCGTCGGCCACGGAGCCGAGGAGCTCGGCGAATAAATCCCCACGGCCCGAGGAGTTGAGATGCAATGCACTAGCATCCCGCAGCTTTGGAAGCGTCTTCTCCGGTGCCAGATTTGTTGGGGGGATCGACGTCTCTGGACACCAGGTGGCAGTGGGCATGGGCATTTCCGGGCCCTCATGACCCCCAACACGCGCATACATAGAGATATACACATCCTCCCGCCTGGGGCCCTGGTACATCTGTTATACAGGCGGCAAGCTGTATGCATACCCGCTTCGTCTACACAGAGCTCGGCGTTTTCCTCGCGCCAGGCCTCTGGCCTGCCATCATATCCTGTCCTCGTCTTCCTCCTCTGGCTCCCATCCACTTCTCTGATCTAGCGCAGGCATCCTTCCAGCGGGGGATGGGCATATCTCGACAGGCATATTCTACCCCATGGCTGAGAAAGCCAGGCCCAATCTCTTCCAGCGACCCTCTCCTCGTCCGTGTTGCCGCCTTCCTTCCTCTCCCCCGCCCTTTCTCCTTCCTTCGCCCTCGTCGTCATCGTCGTCCTCCTCCTGCCCCTCCTCTCCGGTGCTTTCCCACGTCCTCGTCTGCGTCGTGGCCGTCTTCGCTCCCTTCACCTCGCCCTCCTTCCGCTCCTCTCGCCCTCATCCCATCCTCTCCTCCCGCCCCCCCTCCGAGGCCACCTCCACCTCCCTTCTCCTCTTGGGTGGAACGGGGAGGAGGCGAAGAAGCGGAAGAGGAGGAGGAGGAGGAGGAGGGCCAGTGCAAGCGCAAGAGGTGTCAACGAGGCTGCAAAGCACCCTCCCATCCCAAGTCCTCCTCACGAGTCCTGGCAGTTGTTCCCGTTCGCTGCGCGGTGTGTGTGTGTGTGTGTGTGTGTGTGTGTGTGTGTGCCCCCTTGCAAAGACAGTGCCCCTGTTGTTTTGAAGTGCAGCTGCCATCCATGCTGCGGGGTGCAGGGAGTGCAGCAAGGGTGGGGCATGGCGTTGCGTAGGGGAAGTGGTCCGCGCCAGCCCCGTGCTGGGCAGGAAGCGCCCTCCGCCCGTGTGAGCATTGCTCGGGCCTGCGACTCCCGGCCATCAGAAGCCTCTCGGGCGAGAGCCGCACCCCTGAAGAAGAGCCGCCCTCCGTCCGCGTAGCTATAGCGGGGCCGTTAAGAGGAATGCGCGCGGCGCCATGGCCGTGGCATCGCTCGGACGTGTGCCTTTTAGTTTCCCGACCGGGACCGCTGGGGAGGATCCTGGATCATCTTGCGGCAACCACAAGCACACACGACATCGACACGTGCACTGGACGTCCGAGCGATGGCAAGTTGCGAGAGCTCCGTTTCGAAGCGGAGCCGCCCTCCGTCCGCACAGTCTTGTTGTTAGGGCGAGAACACGGGCGAGGGCGACTGTCCCAGTTTTTGGAAGAGGCCCGCACGGCATCCATGCACTTGTTGACCTGTCGAGCTTCGAGATCGCCGACGCTTAGAGAGTCCCGGGCAACACGCACGGCCCGCCCTAAGGACGTGCCTCGTGATGCGACAGGGAGGGGTTGCTTGTGAGGAGGAGGCATGGAGGGAGCGAAGCAGGAGCAGCAGCGGGAGATGGAGAACGACGAGGAGGAGGAGATGCAGGAGAAGTGAAGCGATGGAGGAGCAGGAGCAGGAGGTGGAGGGTGATGGTGAGGAGGAGCTGGAGGAGGAGGTGGAAGAGTGAGGAGGAGGAGAGGAATGATAATGGTGATGATGATGCTGATGATGATGCTGATGATGATACTCATGATGCTGATGATGAGGATGATGATGATGCTGATGATGATGCTGATGATGCTGCTGATGATGATCAGATGTTGATGATGATGATGCTGATGATGATGCTGATGATGATGAGGAGGAGGAGGAGGGGTAGGAGGAGGAGGATGAGGAGGAGAAGGAGAAGGACGATGAGGACGACAAGTGAGGAGAGGGAGGAGGAGGAAGAGGAGGAGGAGGAGGGGAGGAGGAGGAGGAGCAGGAGGAGGAGCAAGAGTGAGGACTCCTCCTCCCACTCTTTGGAAAAGGTCCACCCCGCGGCGTCCCCGGGGCCCCGCTCTCGCGTCGGTCGGGCGCCCAGCCGCGGTCGCCGGTCGCGCGCGCGAGTGTGGTATGGGGAGG